CACAGGATATCAATTTTAAGGCACTCTGATGACATTATCTGACACCAGAGTGCCTTAAAATCAATACCTTACTACTCTATAAAAACACTTGCAGAGAGACTCATCAGGTTCAAAATTTTCAGTGTACAGTACAATCTTTGAATGTCAACCATGACTATAATACAATCAAAGATATTCTGTATAGCTAACCAACTGTACATAATGTCTAAATGTAATAAATTTGAGGAAGGATGTGTTGTTGGGCTAAAGGAAGAAAGACAACTGTTTTATCAAACTACCTGCTATTTGGGCCATTCTGATTTGACTGAAGGTTTTGGATGCACTGGACAAATCAGAACACATAAACACAGTGAGCAGGCTCTGAATGCCTAAGACAGTGCTAGAAGAGATGATTGTCTGACAACCATGAATAGCTTCAACTGCATCTTTGTCCACCATTCAGAAGAAGGTGGAAGCCTTGTTACAGATCCTTATCTCTTCCTATACCATTGACAGGCAACTAGCAGATACATTTGCATGCACCCCAACATTGTCTGTTTCATTTGCAATGGTGCCATGATAGAAGCATGGACCACTATGGACTGGCAGCACATCATCTTTAGCAATGAATCCCAGTTCTATTTGGTAATAGATGGCCACCACATTAAGCGTCTATGGACCACAGGTGTGATGAAATTTCACTTTCTGTTGAGTGATACTGTTACACTGTGCATTTACTGGAGTCATCTTGCATTACAGTCATGCAAGATGCCTCCAATAAGTACATAGTGAAAGGATACAATTACTAGTTGTGGTGCAAGGGGCATTAATGTCACAGTGGTGTCCATTCAAGAAATCCTAATCTAAGCCCTCGTGTTACCTTTTGTGCCAAGACTACAAACAGCCATTTTTCAGCATGATGATGCTTGGTGCACAGATAAGATTTCCCAAAATTGTGTCATGTTGCTGCACTTCCTTGACTTATTCAGTCTCCAGATTTGTCACCTATTGAGTTTTTGAGAGACTGAATGGAATGCAGCTTTGGCCATCTGTAAGTGTGAGAAATAAGGAGAGAGAGTCACATCATCTATAGGCAAATCTATCACAAAATAACATAGATGCTGTGTTCATCAGTGTCCGATTGTATCACTAAAGATATCCAGGTAAAAAGGTGTCCTACAAGGTAATAAAAGTTTCCTTTTATTGTACTGTTATTTCATAGGAAATTGTTCCTTTACTATGATACTGTAATCAGTTATCATCATCATGGTCATTATGTTTGCACTAATAGAATTTCATTCAATTCAAATGTCTCTTTGGGGCATAACTTTGTCAATGAGTGAATGATTCCAGTTTCTTTACTCTCCTTCAATTCTATTTTGGTTAGAAATACTACTCTTAGCCAAACTTTTCCAAATTAGTTTGATATTAGATTTGAAAGCATCTGCACAGTAAAGTATATTTTTGCTTATTACAATTTTTCTTTCAAGGTTTCTTAGTAATGATAATCTTTTATTCTATTTAATAAACAATTAAAAAGCTTTCTCCTATTTTGGTAATTTCATAATCTTTTCTAATTAATTTTTCAGCTTCTATCAATCAGAACAATGGGGCCATTGCTATATTTATTAGTGAGATTAATTAGTTATGAAATATTACTTCTTTCTAGCAAATTCTGTCAGTATTTGCTGTATTAGGAAAAAACAACAAATAATCTTTTACTTAAAACTAAAGAAGAAATGGATCCATTAATTGAACAACTGTTTAAATGCTTAAATTTTGGTTTGTGTGTTTATGCTAGACATCAGTAATAAATAAATGTACATAAAAGGACTAATAATTGACAAATTTTACAATTATCTGTACATATAAATTTTTGTAAATCATTACTTTCAAATAAATCATGTATAACATTGTATACAATTATTATTGCTTGAATAAGAAAATGGCATAAATAAAAAATTTCATAAATGTTTTGTAAATTTAAAAATTTTTTGTCCTAGCAATTTTTTTAAGAATTTTCTTAAATTTCGTAAATTCATAAATGTTATTGATAATTATAAATGAAAAGTATAAATACAAATAGACTATAATGATTTGTAATTATATTAACTATATTAACAATTGTTATGCACAAGTGATTCAAAATAATTATTTGAATCAATTATTTGAGAAATGAAATTAAGTTTTAGTCTTTTAACAATTTAAATTTTGTATCAATATTCCAAATTATTATTTTAAAACTGCTAATTACATAAATTTTCGACTATAAACCTTTTGACTGTATAAACATTTGATTTCAAAAATTCCCATTTTTTAACAGTATTCAAAGGAGAGAAAGAACTTAATTTTTAAAATTATTATACTAGACTTATGCACAAAATTCCAGCATTTTGCAAGATTTTTTATTTCAATATAGATGTAATCAAAAAAATATTTTCTAATCACTTTTGTAATATATCAGTGATTTCTTAAACTGAAGAAAATTTGCCTTTTCACTTAATATTAAATGTATAATGATAAGCTCTGGAATGCTTGATGTATATTCCATCATTTTAAATCTCAATACATGAAAATGTTCACATCAATTGATTGACATGATGATATACTTTGTCATGCAAGAATATATTTTGATTTTGATATCATATACTTTTTAATTTAATTAATTAACAGAAGTTGTTTTTAATATATTTTCAGAATTTTTTAATATGAATAAGTTGCTCTAAGAAATTTTTTGATCCAAGTACCCAAACTTGGATTTGTTAAGTCTCAATTAATTACTACTAAGATTAGCAGCACCTGTGGAATTTTATTATAAACTATGCATTCCCCAGTACTGAAAATAGCAAACTTTTGTATATTATCAATGCTGCCAACATATCACCATTGGAGTGCAGAGAAATTCAAACATTTCTTTTAATTATTTGCTCATACAAGACTATAAAAGTTTAAATTGCCGATGTTTATTACTTCAATTATACTATATTTATTGCTAAAGACACTGTGGTGTAGTGTGGGTGTCAGCCACCCAGGGCAGAGGAAAATTTCTCCGCCCCTTATTTACATAATTCAATTTAAAAGACTAAAATTTAGTTTTGTCACAGAATAAGTAATAAAAAATTCCATGCTCATTTCAATCGGTCCAAATCGTAGGTGTGACAAAATGAAATGAAATGGTTCAAATTTTTACAAGATATTATTATTATTTATTGGGAAATTTTGCCGCCCCCTAAAAGTGCCGCCCAGGGCAGGCCGTCCCTGCCGCCCCCACTACACTACGCCACTGTAAAGACAGCATTGCAAAAAACAGCAGGCAACAAACACTGGATCAAATACAACTAATAATAATAATAATAATAGTGATGTACTAATGTTTTTTTTTTTTTAATTGTTTTAACATAACTCAATGTATATCATTTTATTATCAGTGAATAAATCTAGAATTTCTACCAATTGTAGCCTTACTTAACCTGCTTAACACTAACCATTCTAACCATTATGTAGGTTGGAAATTTAATAGTGGCAATAGTGCTATAGAAACCTAACACAGTGCAACCAGCTATGCTGTCTAAACTAGATGTTGGTATCATACCTACCTTACCTCAGAGCAAACAGACTTTACCTTCCAACTCCATGCACCTGTGCAGTGATAAGAAGGGCAAAGTCTGTTGCTGTTGCCTGGTCTAGTCACAATGTTCTCAAAATCGGAGCAGCAAAGTTGGATAAAGATTAAAAGTGCTAGAGGTCATACTGCACAACAGTGTTACTAGAGAGAGATTTGTGGGGAATCTGCATTATCATACAGAACAATAGCATGATGGGTAAGGTCTTCAACAAGAGAGATGAAAATGTGAATGATAAGCCTCTGCCAGTTGTAACTGTGTGAGTGAAGAACAAGCAAATGCTGTTTCTGTATTATTGGAGACAGATCAGTAACAGACAATTCATAAGTTACAAGATTGTTGCATACAACTGAGCTAGACAATGTGAAGAAATGTCTGGAAATGCAGAAAATTTCATTACAATGGATTTCACATCTTTGACTGAAATGCAGAAATGGAATATAACACTGCTTGTACCTATTTAAATGCTACAAGCATGAAGGAAAGACTTTCTTATGTTGTATTAGATGAGACATGAGCAACATCACACAAGTCAGAACTGAAATGACAATCGAGCAAGTGTCATCATTGCCAGTCACTGCAAAAGTCAAAAGTTCATCAGAACCCCAGCAATGTGAAAGCTATGTTTATTCTCATGAATGACTGCAACTGTGTTATCCTGATTCTTGTCATACCTTCAGGTCAGGTCAGATACATATATATATATGTATGTGTGTGTCATTTGTTCATAATATAAATCAGTGGTTCCAGAACTTTTTGGTGCACCAAATTGCACATGTCATTGTTTAGTGAGCCAGAAATATTTTGTATATTCCACATATGATATATAGGCCTACATTTAATGTAAATTGTGTGTCAAATATGTTTGCAGGCTGAATTTGGTCAGGAGCTGTATCTTAAGTACCACTGAGCTAAATAGTTCTTTCAATAAACTGATAAACATTCTCTTTTCTTGTAGATATTTTTATACTAACATTTCCAACTTATCTGAACAATCACATCTGTACATAAATATTTTCCTTACAAGATAGCAAACAAAAGGCTTTATGGTATAAGAAGTGAGATAAAACATTTGTCATATTGGATGAATATTTATAGAATCTTAAACATTTACAAAGATAATAAAAATATCAGATTCTCTGGACTTATATTATTAATTAGATCAAAAAAGAATTGTAAGTTGAATCTAAGTTTGCTACATCCGATATCAAATTTAATAATTACAAATCAATTAACTTAGAACTTGAAAAAAAAAAAAAATCAAAGCTTATTTAAAGTAAGTTACCTTCTGCATAACAAACAGATATTTCATATACATTTGTTTTGAAACATTTAATAGATTGGTGTAGACTTACATGCTATTGTAAATTTTAACAAAAGGTAATATATTTTACTCACTCATAAGTAGATGTCAATTCTTCAGCAACTGTACGAGTGTGCAAAATTCCATCTCTTTTCTACAATAAAGCAAAAGAGGAAAACAAAAATTGAAACATTAATACAATTATTAAAAACATTTGACAAAAACATTAAATCTACTGTTAATAAAATTTTACCTACTTGAACGATGACAACATTTACAACAACATTTTCTGGCAAACGGACTGGTGCTCTGAAATGTCTAGCCAGAGCAACCAGAAGATGAAGTATGGCGACAACATTTTTGGAGTGTACGGCTAAAAACATTTACATTGTAAATTAAAAGCCCATGGAAATACATTTAATACAAACATACACCACTCACAATCGACACTCCATTTCAATTGATTCCATCTCGCCAATCCCAACACCTTATTAGCTGCATCTAGTACGGTTTTAAGTTTCTGTTTCTGACCTTCTTCAGACTGCGTGACTTCTACCACATCTAACTTAACTTCCGTCAATTTTTCTATAATGTGGAAATTTTAAACACTTTAGAATTGCAGACATCAGCGAAGTAACTACATCAAAATTTCATACCTAATACCTTTTGAAGAATCTGACCATCATAAAGATCCTCCTCGATATCTTTCACGATAATTCTCTGATCAGCCAACTCATCGTTTATCCAATCAATCAGGACCCGCATCAGTTCTTTCAATTTTGCATCTTCATAAGAAATGGGCTCGATCATAGACCTCTCTTCATATTCGTCTAAAACAATAATACATTAAAAATGCCACCCAAAAAAGTTTCTCGTCATTTTTTAAACATGGCAAAGAAGTACTAGCTGGCTCACCTAATATGTAATCCTGAGGAGGAAGATCGGGAATGGTAGGACTACCGGGAGAATCGATAGCATGTTTTCCTTCAGCCTGAAGTTCATTGACTAAAAGAAACATATCAAACTTTTATCCAAAAACAATGTTTTATTTAATTACAAAATCTTAAGTCAATTTGGAATTGAATATTTTGAATCATAATTAGTATTATGATTCCAAATAATCAATTTTAATACACAGTAATCAGAATAGAATTTTTTTTATTTACTTAAATAGATCTTTTTATTATTACCTATGTTATTACTTTATATTTCTTCATTAGTATTTACTAAATTATTAATTTGGCATTTATATCATCATTCTTCTGGAACAAAGATGGAACATAACAAGGGATATCCTGACATCACCAATACAGAGTAATTTTTGGACTCTTTACCTTTGGTCCAATACCAGTATCAATACTTTACCTCGAGTATTGGATCTGGAACGATTACATTTTTCACAGAGAAGTAAGATCCAAACGAAACTGGATTTTGCAGCCAAATTGGAAACCAAAACAAAATTTTACACTATTTTCAGTCAGGTTAAACGTACATTAAAAAATATTAATGACCAAAAATCAATAAATGTATTACATCAAACTTCATTTCCAGAATCTGGAAATGAAGTTTGATGTAATAAAAAGTAATTTTGTTTGGCGGTCTGGAAAGTAATTTTGTTCTTTTTACCACCTGAGGGATTAGTTGTATTTTTATCAGCCAACTTCATTCTGAACCATACTGCCATTATATATTTTGAAAGCTGACATTTCAAGGCTTATTTGCAAAAAGTTTTGTTTGATTCTATGCAATTATTATTATTATTATTCTTTTTTTTTTTGATGTTCTGTCAAATATGGAAAATCAAAAGCATCATTTTCAGCATATTTTTGTATTTTTATTACCAAAAAAATAAGAATGCCATTCAAGCAAGAAAAAAATTGTGCAACGTCTATGAAAAAGATGTGTCGACAGAACAACAAAATCTGTCGGTAAAATTTCCTTCCAGCAATTTTGATATCAAAGATGCACCACATTCCAGAAGGCCAGTCAAAGCCAACGAAGACAAAACAGAGGTATCAAACTAAGCAAACTGCCAAACAACAACACAAGAAATCACTACGAGATTAAATCTGTTGAATTCAACCATTTACAATCACACAAAACGATTTGGTTTCGTTTCAAAGCTCGACACATACGGATTCACACACATTCTTAAAGAAAGAGATTTGCTCCATTGCATCGACATTACAATTTACTTCCAAAACTTTGAGAAAACAATCTATTTTTGAAGCGAATCATACCTGGCAAGAAAAATGGGTCGTTTAGGACAACATAGGCTCGAAGCACTCCGAAAGTCAATGTTCATCAAAAGAAAGCAATACTCTCCGTCTGGGGGATTTTAAGGGAATTAGCTTCTACTGGACAATTCCACAATTGATTCAAAAGGGTACTGTCATCAATCGGACAAATCGAACGATACCATCAAACTGAAAAGGCCAGAATACATCTACAGAAAAGGTGTAGAGTATCACAACAATAACGCCAGCCTCACACAAGTTCGGTAACTCGTCGGAAGCCATCACGGCTAGAACGGGACGTGCCACCACATCCAACACCTTCAGATTATTATTCGTTCCGGTCTTTAGAAACTTTTTTAAACGGTAAAACATTTACTTCAAAGGAGGTCAAAAGCATCATTTTCAGCATATTTTGTTTTTTTATTACCAAAAAAAATAAGAATGCCATTCAAGCAAAAAAAAAATTGTGCAATGTGTATGGAAAAGATGTATCGACAGAACAACAGTGCCAAAATTTCCTTCCGGCAATTTCAATATCAAAGATGCACCACATTCCAGAAGGCCAGACAAAGCCAATGAAGACAAAACAGAGATATCAAACTAAGCAAACTGCCAAACAACAACACAAGAAATCACTACGAGATTAAATCTGTCGAATTCAACCATTTACGATCACACAAAATGATTTGGTTTCGTTTCAAAGTTCGACACATATGGATTCCACACGTTCTTAAAGAAAGAGATTTGCTCCATCGCATCGACATCTACAATTTACTTCCAAAACTTCCAGAAAACAATCTATTTTTGAAGCGAATCACACCTGGCAAGAAAAATGGATCGTTTAAGACAACATAGGCTTGAAGCACTCCGAAAGTCGACGTTCATTCAAAGAAAGCAATGCTGTCCATCTGGGGGATTTTAAAGGAATTAACTTCTACTGGACAATTCCACAATTGATTCAAAAGGGTACTGTCATCAATCGGACAAATCGAACGATACCATCAAACTGAAAAGGCCAGAATCGATCTACAGAAAAGGTGTAGAGTTTCACAACAATAACACCAGCCTCACACAAGTTCAGTAACTCGTCTGAAGCCATCAAGACTAGAACGGGACGTGCCGCCACATCTGACACTCTCGGATCATTATTCGTTCCGGTCTTTAGAAAATTTTTAAACGGTAAAACATTTACTTCAAAGGAGGTCATCAAAAATCACTCGAATCGGTTTTCTGTAAGCAAAGGTCATGGATAGAAATTCCAACGGTTCCTATCGGCGCGAGGCTCCGTCCGTCTAAAATATATCGAAATAACGTTAATATGGAAAACGTAAGAAACATTCCCGGGTGGGCGTTGGCTAATATTACGTCACACAAATTGTTTTCGTTAACCTAATTTTCCCAACGCCCAGGCCAGAAACGTAAACGAGATATTCGCTTCGTCGTTCGGACGACGAAGCCAAAACCAACGGACGATTTATAAATCGAAGATAATTAAGTAAGTTTAAGAAAACGGACGGAGAAGAAGCCGAGAAGCCAACCCCCATGCCGTTGGCGGAACCTAACATGGACAAATAAGGAGAAGGCGGCGCCACCTACGAACAGATGGCGTCCGAAAGTGGCCGATAAGGCCGTAAACAGGAGAAAAGAAGAATAAAGCCGATGTCTACCTTCTTTTATCTTCTTTCTTCTTCCCAGAGTACCCAGATATTCCAGAAAAGACTCGTCTTTTTTCTTCTGCGGGGTAACGGGCCGCGGAGACTTGGGCCTAGGTGACGCCATCTCGCTCCGACGAATTTCGCTGATCGGCGCTAGAGGCGCGCCTCCGTCCGATTATAAATAGCGGTGACGTCGCCGGATCACTCCAATAGGGAAAGAGCCCGTGGGAAGAATCGGATTCCGTAAAAGGACGTTTTCGATGTTTTTTTTTTTTTGTTGAATAATAATTTTTTTTTTTTTTTGTTGAATAATTCTTCGTCGAAATAATGAGTAAGAAATGCGGTTAAACGTGCACAGAGCGGAAGAAGGAAGTCATCCGGAACTTTAACTCGCTTTCCGCGCTTCCGTTTTTAAGCGGGAAATAGCTACGGCTGGGTAAAAATAGTAACCCACCATTATCTCGGAAATTTTGTTTTAATTAGTCGTCGTCGAGACTCTTTTCCGGTTTTGATTCGTCGGCGATAAACGATAAAAATATGGAAACAAAATACTAAGCCGTCGGTCTAACACTAAAGTGGCCGAAATTTTCCACAGGAAGAATTTATTCAATAAAATAGCCCGTTTCTTATTTTCAGTTTATTATTATTTTTTTAACTCTTTCCTTCCTATGGGCACTAAGAGAGCCTCTTTTATCCAGCCTATTATGGATTCGGCCAAGCCACAATGGGTGAAGAGGGAAGGGACCCGACAAACGGACCACACTCCGAAAAATTCCTGAGAATATTTCCACCCGTCCGGATGCGATTTCGGGTCCCCCAGAGGGTTAGGTTGCTATCTTGACCGCTCGACCATCCGGCTATCTTATTATTGTTATTATCGATCGCGATTTATTTTATGTCTTAATTTATTTTTTATTTGAAAATATGAATTGCATTTCCTGTAATTTATATCGGTTTCTTTTACTGCCGCGGGACTGCCGACAAAGACCGGGTCCTGGAAAATAATTCTTAACCGCCGGAAGGAAAACAATAAAATAAGCGGGGAGAAAATCTTAAATTCGGGAATAAAAAAATAAAAATGCCGAAATTTTAATGCCGCAAAGACGAACTTTGCAACTTGTTATTTGTTCTTCTTCTGGTTCCATATTCATTTCTGAATGTAGGATTAGTATTATAACAATCTCAATTGTGCTTCACGTGTGAGTTCTTCTGCTTTCTTATTTTTCCATTCACATATATTACCCAACCAACTTTTTCTTCTCTGTCCTGGCCTTTTCTTTCCACAGAATTTTTCCCTCTAAAATATTTCTTAAAATTTCATATTTACTTCTTGTTATTTGTATTTTCTATAATTCAGTTTTAGTGTTTTGTGCAGCCCCTTTCCTGAAATCGATTATAAAGTGTTCGTGGCCAACGGTGGTTACTTAGCGCCACACCGATCGGCACCGGCTCCATTCGCCGCTCGACAAAACTGTGATTCGACTCGCCGTTCATTACAAAGAAGTTATTCTTCTCGATACCTCTTCGCAATTAAAAACTTTTGCACAAAACAAATCAACAAAAACGCATTTATTTGTTCCGCCCGGGGAACTACAGAGGTCATTTACAAATGTAAGAAATGTGTGCTCGATGTACGCCCTATCGTTCCGATGTAAAACTTGAAGACCACAGAGAATTCGTTCGCAACCTCTTTCTAGTAATGCTTCGCGCTTGCACTGTAAAACGACCTTTTAAGTCTGCTAAGATTGCAACATTTCCGGGATAAACCGCATTTATTAAATTAATGGCCCACAACCAGAAATCACGCGAATTCGGATCGTGTCGATTTTATTCGTAATTTTTAAATAACAGATTAAAAGATCCTACAAAACATGGTAGGAAAGTAATAGTTTTGAGTAAAATAGTCATTTTGCATCAAATAAATTTATAAATTTTTAAACGGCCGCAACACGGCCTTAATTAAAATAGTCGTTGTTGTATTTACAGTAGAGCCTCGATTATCCGACTCAATTGGGGACTGGGCTTGGTCGGATAATTGAAAGGTCGGATAACCGAAAAGTATGAAAAAACCATTATTAGTGTAGTATTTTATTATATCCCATGTAATTAGTATATTAGTATATCGCTATTAACCTACTTCGCGTTGAATTTTCATCGATGTTAAGCCTAACAAAAATTTTTAAAATAATCGTCGCTATTGTATCGTTAAAAATTAAAAAATTAAGCATCGTTTAAATACTGGCTCCCTTTCATGGTCGAATGAGTATTGCCGGCTAAAACACGTAAAAATAATATTAAAGTAGCCAAGACATAGCCTAATATTGTAGCGCCACATCACTAGCGGACATTTGAAATTTGCCAACTAGGACGGTCAGTTAACCGAGGTGTCGGTTAATCGGGGGTCGGATAATCGAGGTTCTACTGTACTATAATTTTGTAAAAAACAAAGCACGTATACAGCTAACTAGTATTTAATTAAAATACGTCTTCCTTTATACTAGTTAATTACGCAATTAACTAAATTTTTACGTTGTTAGTAATCATCTTTAGTAACGAATGGAATTACGAAAGTATTAGATCAGGAATGTATTGGTAAATTAAAAAGTGCCAGGGCGCTAATCGACGCTCCGAGTTTGAATCGGCACAGTGTACGAAGTTTTGTATAAGCCAAGCGCAACTTTATGGCGCAAAACGGCTTAAATAAGCCACAAACTATCTATATACTGGTATCCCTGGTACAAAACGGCATTCCTACGACACAGTTTCGCTTTAGCTCGGTTCGAGAAATGGAGACGTCCTCGTATAAAACATCACAATTTTCAAGTGAAAACACCGTCGTTCAATATTTTTTTTTTATTGGGACAAGCAAGCGCATTTGAAAATTTTAATATTCTAAAATCTATAGTTAATTAATAGTGTTTCGATGCGTTTTGGGTGGTTTTCTTTGATGAGAATCAACTGTACTGTACAATATTTCTTTTTCCTTGTCCTATCTTCCTATTGTATTTTCCTATGAACCAGCCGTTGTGTCGTTAGTGATAGAGCTCTAAATCGGTGGTTTTCAACCGCCGCGGTCCGCAAAAAATTTTACCGGTTTGCAGACAAATATTTGACCGGCGTAGTTGAATACGGGTGATATTTACGTACAGTAACTCTAGATAAGCATAATTTATAGTCGCTTATACACTTGGTACGAGTAAAACTACTCATAATTTTACCGGTCCGCGATGACAAAAAGGCTGAAAACACTGCTCTAAATCAGTGATTCTCAACCACTGTGCCGCGGCACTTTAGTGTGCCGTGAGATTTTTGAAGTGTGCCGTCACTGCGAATGTCCCATACGTAAGCGACTTGAGACAAGTAGTTTAATCGGTTCTACCTTCCTAGGGTGCGTTTGGAAATTGTAACCGGCGTTACCGGAAACTGCCGGAAGATACTAAGACGCTTAGAAAATGTGATCTAAATAACCAACTGCGTTTAAAAATCATTGTTATGATGTCACCGGTTGTCCTACGGTACTTACCGAATTAACCGTGTGTGCCGCCAAATTTTTAAATTATTAAAATTGTACCGTGATGAAAAAAAGGTTTATGATTCCCAAAAGACTGTCGCTGTTTTGTTTTTATATATTAAATTAAAGTTATTACATGAAGATTAAATTTGTAGAGATGTTGAGACATCTCTACAAATACAGTAAATGAACACAAGTACACAAGTACACAAGTACGACAAACACAAGTACAGTAAATGAAAATATCAGATTTTATGAAAATATGTAGAGAAAAATCAAGATGTCGCCGATTCTTCAGATTAAGGTGAACAGGAAAGCTCGGAAGACGATATTTTGCCAAAAATAATCGTCCTGGCTTAACGATGTTTAGCAATAAAGAAATGAGTTAATATTAACGTGCAACACTTTTGATTGTGATTATTAGTTAATTATTAATTGCTTTAATAAACATATTTCTATTCATTTACAAGTGTAATTTTGCTATGTTTTGGTACCTAGCCCTGTGTTTTGTATTAGTCCTTTGTTTCGTATGGCACGGATTGGCGTAACACGGCACTTTTCGTAACCTAATTACCGTAATATACGGATATCCACGGTATTCGTAATCGGCGCAAAAAAACCGTGCAAGAAGTAATTTTCTGTTTTTCGGCCGAGGTACATGGTCTAAAGTCCAACTTAAATGTTCACAAAATACAAGAGCTTCGCCCCATTGAAAAAAAGAGAAAGTATCATAGCGGCGTCCCGAAACGACTATAATACTATATTAGACACTGGAAATGAGTTGTAAAAGTATTGTAAAACTGTAAAATATTTACGGCAAAAAACTATTGGCAGATTTTGACGAACATTTCGTAAGAAAAACTGTAAAAAATCGCTTACCTTTAGTCCGGAGCAGCAGCCGGGTTTGCAGATTCTCGTCAGTGACGCTGAGAATGACTTCCGAGTCTGACGGAACGTAACCGGAAGCGTCATCTTCGGTAGCCAAATCTCCCGTCCCGGGTCTACTCCCGTCCTGATTGGGTTCCGACGGAAACTCGACGTCGGCCGAAATTCGGGCTGATACATCTCGACCGGGTGGGCTGTGGGGTGGCGGTGGGAGGGGGTGGCGGGTGGCGTTTTCATCCATTACCTGTAAACGATAACTAAAAATGGAAAGGAGGATGGATGGTTATTCGTGCCGGTACCGAGACGAGATGTATGTTCTCGTATCTTTCGGCACATTTACGTTAAAATAACAAAGAGCGCGATTAGGCTGAGCCCGGTGGAAATTTATGGGGGGACGAAAATTTATAAACGCACATTCCACTTCGAACCGGCCAAATTCTCCACTCCGGACGACAACCGCTAGGGTTTTCATCTAATACTGTACAAATCGATGTCTTTGCAATTGCATTTAAGTTATACCATTTGTATGAAAATTCTATCTTTGGAAATAAATTCCTTCGGTCGAACTACGCGCCCATTAAAATATTACAGAAATTTCTTTTATATTTTATCCCGATCTCCAAGTATCCGGTCGACCGTTCCTCCTCAAATTTCACGATTGATTTTAAGTTTCGGACCGAAAGAAGTCGGTATATTCTGTCAATAACAATTAATGGCTGCGGAATTTTTTGTTAATTCTTGAGAAAATGCTATTAACCTCTGTGATATTTCGACAAACGCATTTTACTTTCCCGTCTGTGTTACATATTTATAACACAGGAAAACTATGGCCATCGGTCAAAAAATGACCCCCCACCGAAGATTTTTACATTTTTGGGGTCCTTGAAACGTTGAGAAATGCCGAAAAACAAAATTCGGGTTTTTTTTGTATGCATGGATGATAGTATGTGTTGGGGGACGCGATTTTGTTCATCCTCATTGAAGCTTAACAATCATCATGCTTTTGTAGAAAAATTTCTGAAATTTTGCGGGGAGGTTTGTGTATTAGGGGATCGATGCTGTTAAATTTTGGTGATAAAGGTCGACGTGGTAAGGAGATAGAGGGGTCGTTTGTCAAATCCCGAGTAGGATAGGACTTAATGACGATTTTACTTCTTATTAGCATTTACAATTTTTTTTTTTATAAAACTCAACTCTACCCTAATAATTAAGTTTTTTACTATTTTATAATAATTAAAAATATTTTAAAAATGTAATAATAAAATATCATAACAGATGGCGCAACACGCGCATATTTAAAGGTCACCGGGGAAAGTTAAGCAACTCGTTGCTGGATTTTTTTTCTTTATATTGCGACGTGTATTTTATTTATATATTACTTATAAATTAGCGGTCACATAGATGGAAATTTTATTGTATTCGCATTAAAAATATTTTATCCCTTCAACTCGTTTCTCCCAAGATTAAATGTTGATTACGCCGTTGTTCCATTCGTAATTTCCCTTTATAATTGCCCGTTTCTTACGGAAATTTTAAGGGCTCTTAATTAATAAATGCCAAAATGTATATTTATTAAGAGGTTGTAAATCTGAATAAGAATTTTATTGTAAAAATTGTTAATCATTGCATTTAAATGTTAAATAAATAAAAATTAAAATCTGAAAATCGGTCTCCACGATTGATAAGCCCCCCAAAAAAGACGTTATAGTCCTAAAAGCATTATTGTAACGAAATAATTAATGTTTCTTCTTATATTTATTGAACACATTGTACGATATATTATATACTTTATGTACAGTACAGTTTTATCAGAGTGGATAGATATACTAGTCTCTGAGCTCTGTTCTTAAGTACAGTTTATGTGTCAGGTTGCCGATAGCTTGCCTCGAGTCGCTTTGCGGAGAGAAGTTGGTTTATCCATTTGGTTAGAAGGTAGTTTTACCGTTTTCAAGCATTTTTATAACTTTCTCTGCGAGAAAAAATTGCAGAATAAGTATTTTGTGGCGGGTCTACCGTAAATCTGGTGAGAAGCGGCATGTTTTTCCACTACTTTCGAACCAGTTAGATAAGTGGAAACGTGTAATTCCTCGAAAAGATTTACAACTCACAAGAAAATCGCGAATATGTAACTTGCATTTTGATTATAGATTTCTTATTAAGAATTGTGCATATAACTTAGGATAAAAGAGTGGAAAATGTTAACTAACACAGAATGCTTATCCTTCGACTTTTTCCAATTGCCCATGTTATTTATGAGTTCTAGAACATTTAATTAAAATTAAATTATATTAAAAATAAAATATTTTAATAAATATAATATCGTAATAATTTTTAATATTTTTAAAATTTTTATTTACAGTTTTAAATTGAGGTAAATTTTTAAGTATCTCAATTTAAAACTGTTATATTACTACGTCTTGTGCATTCAAGTTTTATACATAATTTTCTCTTTCTGTATATCTGTTTAATAAATAGATATGTTTGCATATTTCTGTTTTATTTCATTGCATATCTATGACAATATAATTGGAAAAACCATAGCTAATGCTCTAATGCATTTAAGTAGCGACAAAAACTAACTCAGATAAAGACTAACTTTATTTTTTTAAATAATTCATTAATTTTAATACTACATAAAGTATACAATTATATTTGTTTCAGTAATGATAAACAGCTTTAATTAAAGATATCATACACTTTTGTATTTTTTATATATGAAATTGCACATCTTATGACATTCACGATGTGTTTACATATTTTAGTAGTTTATAAAATATTCTGCGCCATTAAAAGTAGAATATGAATGCAGATCTATTGATAGCCTACCGACATTTTTCCATGTTTATATATAGGTAGTCTACATATATAAATGATTAAAATATCAAGTAATTTGTCTTTTAGACTCTGCTTCATTGCTGTTAATATCTAATAATAGTGTTTCAGTTCGTACCATGTTACATTTATTCTATTTTTTAACCTCTAACTCATTATCTGCTTGTAAATACGGCACGAAAATTGATATTTCCAAGTTTTAAAACTTATTCTGAAGTCTAATTCTCTTATTCCTCTATCAGACCATCTAATTTCAAGAACTGTCTATCTGATTTCTAAAAGCTTGATATCTACTGACCTTGATACGCTCCAAAACTCATCGAAATCCTCTTTTTGTAACTTTTTTCTTTAGTTAGTTATGGCAACGCAACACATGGCATTACGGGAGTCTTTTTAAGGGAAACTGGCCCCTATTTAGGCGTTACAGGAGTTTGGTCGTGAGCGAACCCACGACCAAACTCCCAGTGTTCAGAGTACGAAAACCGCTTGGCCACTGGTGGGCCATCTCTTTTTGTAACACTTCATCGAATTCCAACGCTTGTTTTATATTTCTATACATATTCATAATTAAGTTTACATAATTCTCATTAATCTATTGCCTTCCTGACTCAGAAAGAATTCACTCATATTAATTAACTAATTAATAATGTATATTAATAGATAGTTGTTTGTTTAGTTACGGCAACGCAACACGTCGCAATATTTGGGCGATCTGCCTAGGAGGGGAGTTTTTTTAAGAGTAACTGTCCCCTATTTAGAAGTTAAAAATATTTCAAATGTTTATAGCTAAGTTTATAGCTATTATCGTCCTCGAGCCAAACTTGTTGCAAAGTTATTACAGTGCACGAAGTGGCGTAATAAATAGAGAGACCAATATATCTATCGAAGTATCGATTCTGGTTTAATGCTACATTGTGCGTTGTGTCATATACTCTGGTCGTTTGTGGTTCGACGTTTTATTTAATAATCGATCGACGATCCGCGTCTTAATAACAAAAAAATACGAACTACGACGGTACGAGCAGTTTAATTTTCAGATTATTCGCGCCAGCGTCCTTTTGGTCAAATGCGGCTTTGGAAGATAGACAAAGATCCCGAATTTGCGCGGACGAAACGAACAGCGTGGGAAAGAAGACCACCAACCGATGTCGTCGTCCCCAAAATTTAAGAGTTTGGACTCCGAAACTGACTAAAAGAACCGCGAAGCTGGCAATTACGACCAGTTTGACATAAAGTAGTGTATTCATACAACCCCACACGTTACAAATTCCCAGATTCCAAATTCGTCCTCCGCACACCTTAAAATTTAGAAATTTCTTCGTTTGTACGCGCCCCGTAACTAAAGGCCGAAAATAAATCCGGAAAGACCGGCCGTGCAAAATGGCTCTTTACTAGAGAAAGATGCGGATTGCGCCCCACCGGCTATCCATTTTTTTGGGCAAAGGCGTTACCCGAATTTGGATGGGAGATAGAAACGAGCGTTGGATCGAGACGGTCGGGGAAATTCGCTCCCGGAAACGATTTCTCCATCGGGGAAAGGACTTTCTCTTACCTGCATGGAAAAGCCGAGACAGGAACGATCTCCGGTTCGGTCTGCCGTTTCTCTCAATCCGATACTGCAAAATGGCCGCTTCTTCCGGGAGACCGTCGACTTCCTTCTTCCCGGAAATTCGCTCTATACGCCACTTCCCGAATGTTTTTATCGGTTAAACCCAGACGAGATACGTTATTCCTTATCCGTGGACTAAAATACTTTGCTGTCCGGAAAATATCCTTATTATATTGACATTTCCCAGCGAAATTATATAAATAAACTACCATTTGAAGATTAATAGTTGCAATTATGATCCTGGTCACGTTTGGATTATTCTAATAAAAATCATAAATTATAGAGGAGAAGGTGGTATTATGGAACCCCATTTTCATTTTAGTGAATTGTAAACAAGTTATCATAACTACACATCCACATTTTTTGTGCGAAAAGTACTGGTAACTATTAAACTAAATGTTCCTAATTGGATTTTTCGCTAGTGTAACTATAAGTATGGTTTTTGAAAAATTCTGTACAAAAAGTCAGAAAGTAGGCTTAGGGGAAACCGGGTGGTAATATGAAACCTTACTGTATGTTTTCAAAAAATGCTTTAATGTGTCCTAAAACAAATAGGAAAGTACAAAGAATGTTAAATAATTACAGTTATTTACTCCAATGTATTTTATCGAAAAAATGCTTTCATAATAGAAAAATATGACCTCCATCAACAATATATAGGCCTATTCCAGCAGCTCCTTTTCGATATTCTCAGGAAGAATTGTGTCTTTTTCACAAATTGCTCCAGACGAATGTCTGCTTGCAAATAGGGAGTTCGGAGGAGTTGGGTTCCCAGAGAAATTGGGTTCCATATTAAAAGCACCAATGGGGTCCATATTTCACGCATTGCCATCTTGAATTAACTTATGTCTGTCAAGACCAAATTTTAAAAAACATCACACAGATTAATATGTACCCTTAAGTCTCTGGAACGGAATACATACAGCAGTGAACTTACAACTACACGATTTATATTTTAGAAATAATTAAATTCACTCACCATTCAAAACTTTTTCGAATTTCGAAAAACACAAATATGCTAATTCACTACGGACAACCGTTTAACTGAAGTGAAACGGGTTTTCCCCTTGCTATGGATGTCTGCCTAGTGCAGTTCAGCCACAATCCGCTACAGTTCGCCTTTATTATCGGTTTGAAATGGAGGGGTTCCATAATACCTGCAGGGTTCCATAATACCACTTTTTCCTCTACTAATACTAATTTGATGACATTATTAGTAATGCATTTACGTCGAGTATGTATAATACTAAGGTTAGAAAAGGAAGAAAATGAAACTTTAAATAATTGAAATATGACTTGCGTAAGCCATTACGTCGTGGTTTTCAAACTATAGAGGAGAGTGGGGATATAATTAGTTGTATAAATGTCCGGTTGGCATTACTGAGTTAGTTTATAAGTTCTCTTGCTGAATTGTTGAAGACAATAATAACCGACTTGGCGTGAATAGTTTTGAAATCACGAGGTAAGATTCATTTTTTCATCTTTCTCATATAATATTTTGATTGTTTACAAACTATATTTCATAATTACGTATAAACTATAAACTAAAGTAAATAATTCCTTCGATATTTTGATAAATTCGTTTCTCGTGTGCATTACGGTAAACTAAACATTTAGAAATGTTCTCTGTGTAGATAGCAGTATCTGCTTTTGAAAAAACAATGTTGCAGGACAAATGTTCGCATGCTACAGTGGGGCAAAAGCGCTTTTTTTAATTAATGTGTGCCCCGCTTTTTAAGGGGGATCGATCGTCATCACTGGAGGGGTAGCCGAATTATGACGATATCAACGATGAATAAAGGTTTCTTTTCTCCTTCGTCTCGAGCGACAATTTATCTTTGAATCTCCTGCGCAACTCGCAAGTAACTGCGTACAAGAGCTCTAGTTAGAGAAATGGCAAGTTGTGAGAGCGGTCTGGCTATGGCCGGGCCGACTAAAGTTGAAGATTAGGTTGATTATGAACGGCCTACCGATACATTTCCATGCCAATGATATTTTCTCGCGATCATAGATTTGGCTAATTGCAGTATGCCTACAGTCCACGTTGTTGCAGCAGGAACCTCGGTGCTGCTGTTATCGTCATCCGCCTTCTTTGACAATTGTCTCTCTGTTTGTAACGTATAAGTTGAGAACAAATTCAGTTTTTTATAATTGTGATTTGCCAATCACGAGCGGTTTGTGGAACAATTTTATGACTTATATGAAAGAAATTTTGGTTGTCTCTAAGATAGGTAGATGGCCTAAAATCGCATCTTTAATTAATTTTGAAGGAAGGCAACTACCGCGCTTGCGTCATGTTCGGTTACATCTGAGAATTCTGAAGAATTTTCCATCACACAGGCACATTCAAAACACCGCATGCGACGGAGAAAAGTGGAAATGGGTAACGCTATACAAAAGCAACGTAAATATGACTTTTCGTATTCGCAACTCGGATTTATGTGACCACAGACGACAAACATTCCTTTCCACAATGTGTTATCTACAGTGAGATTTTGTCAGATCATTCCATAAAACCTTCAATTCTGTCGCGATATCTCCACTAGGATCTTGTGAAGAAACCGACTAAATTTTCTGAAAGGGAATACTAAGAATTGAAAGTGAGGAAAGCTGTTTGCATCATCAGTCAACATCGTCAGAGTCAAAGAGTTAAAGGCATCTTATCTTCTCAGATACCGTGTGGCTAAGTCACCAAAGTCAAAATTGTCAACTTTTTAAAATCAGGCCCGGGAATGCAAGGTATTTGACTCTAGGTGTAACGAAATGGGTAACCGGTATTAACAGTAGTGTTGTACACAGACGTCCACTGACTCTCGCGAAGTGAAATATTGATACCTATAATGGAGCTGCATAATGAACTTAAACTTTTCTTTGGGGAGCATCCTTTTGAATTGGGCAATCGTCTTCCAGAATCGGTCTAGATTCTAGACTTTAGAATCTAGTTGTATAATCTTTCAACTCTCACTCCTTTTGCCACGATTAGCCTGACCACATCCACAAAACACACGTTCGTTGGCATCGTTGTAAGTCATCGTTACCTAAATAGAATTAAGTTGTATCTAATGGGTTTCTTAATTAGCAGATATTTTTTGCGGGCCAACGAAGAATGGAACACCGGTGCCGGTAAAATGTTTAGTTTACTTCGTCGATTACACGACTAAAAAAGGAAAAATGCAGAAAAAATTATCGAGTGGCCGGTTAACGAATCGTCTTATTACGGAATGCTTATTTTTTTCTGTTCCGAACAGGAAATTAAACCGCTTTTTACCAAAAGAGTTACCGACTGAGAGACTAGTCGGGTATGGGACTTACTCTGCCTGCTTAAAATTTACGAATCCTCTTGATGCTTAAGCATATCTTTCGCAATTCAGAAGAACGCCAGTGAGGTTAAGAGAGCGCAGCCGAATACGGAAAATTTTTAGGTTCGAATCGTTTGGTAGCGTATCTCTTTGGTAAAGCCAATTAGCGAGAAATCGATCTCATCAACATTTTTCTAATAATTTTCTGAAGCGGAGTTCTACGCTTTAGCGGATAAGAGGAAGCGGATACGGACGAAAAAGTACGTCCTCGCTTCTTTCCATAAAAGTGAAAAACTCGTCTTTTGGCCTGGAAGCGCCTTTTTTTTTCCTTTGACAATAGCCATTTTACGGCCTCGATTAAAGGAGAGATAGAAGCGGAATTGACACCGGGCAAAACACCGTTATTCCGGCAGTAGCGCATACGTTCGGGTATAAAAATTTGGTAGGTACTGTTAATTCGGTGGAAGACGATTTCCGTTCTTTCTGTATTTCGAGAAGAGGAATAAACCGCCGGTCTTCTTCCCGTAACCAAACGCCGAAAAACCGGTAGGAGCGCGGTAAAAGTTACTCCGTAAACTATCCGACGACGGTTCCTAATCCCGTCGAAAAAAGTAATATCCTTAAATTACAAATTACTCGTTGGAAAAAGTACCGTAATTCAGTGTTTCTTAATTAACAGGGGCCGTGGCCCCCCTGGATCGATAAGAAGTTTGCCGGGGGCCTCCAAATTATGCAAACTTTCCTTCAGAATATAATAAAAAGAAAATTGATGTATAACCGAATATCGTATTGAAAAGTGAAGTAAGAAAGATAAAGTTTTCGTATTTAGTTATTTATTTATTTATTTCTTATTTCTTCCTACATACAACTTTGTTAGTACAGAAGAAATAAATGCAAATATGCTACTTACATTGCAGAATTTACTTCTTTTATTTCAAAGTAATTCTAAGAAACTATTAATGCTTGGAATTTTAAAAATAAAGCAATAATAAAAAAATTAATTTATTATAGATAATTTAACAAATATAAATTATTATTTAAAAAAATGGTGGTCACAAAAAAATTATGAAATATTTGGTGGGCCGCGAGTATAAAAAGGTTAAGAACCACTGCCATAATTAACATTCCGATTAATCGTACGGCTTTTCGTTCGGTCGGCAATACATAATCATCTGAGTAAATTACTTACGAAGTCAAACAATAGTAAAATATTTTCCGAGCGCTTACCACCCGTGACAAAAAAAAATCGCTGGGAAATATAATTATCTTGACATTTACACCAATTTCTACATCGTTCTCGGTCGATCCTAGTGTACAAAAAGGACGAGAAGTGTAAGATTTTGGAAAGCGACGTTCCCGGACCGGGAAGTGGCAAAAACGTGTTTCCGGCGGGTTTATTCAATTAATAACCGGCTGTGCCGACAGATGACCGGCGACAAAAAACGATAACGTTTACAAATACGCGATAATACAATTTCACATTTTACAGAACATTTACAATAGTCATTGTCTGACGTAATATTTCCATTGGTGTTTAGGTAAGCAAATCCAATTTACAATAAACGACGATTCGCATGGTTTGTTACTTTTTCTCCTTTGTTTGCGCTTAAAGTAAGAATTTAAAAAAGAAGTTGCCCGGAACTATTTCTCCTCCCTCCATTTTCTCCCTCTCCTAACTCCCGTTGGGTGCCAACATGTGCCACGGAGTCGTTAGGAAGGGACGACATCTCCAACCCTTAATTAATTTAAGGATAAACCGAACGTGGCATCGTAAGGACTACAATTAGTGCCCGGACGATACGATCCGGTCTCGGTGACACGCATAAACCGAAATCCCTTGGTCCGGTGCCGCATTTGGTTACTAAAACGTTGGAAAAAAGTCGCCGACGGCTTCCGCTACNGGAGGGAGAAGCGTCCTGATTGATTCAGGTAAGAAACGCGTTCGTGGCGGCCGCCCCACGTTCTCCGAAAACGGATTTCCGGTTCCAGTCCCGCGGGGTAGACGCCGGCCTCTTCTGGCGACGGAGGACGGGCCGTACCCCTTTCCGTTTTCGATGGAAAGACTCGAAGGGAACAACGCGGATTCCGCCTCGGAGGACGAGGGAGGAGCCAAACAGCCTTCGAATTCCGGGAAAAGATCCGGTCTCGGTGACACGCATAAACCGAAATCCCTTGGTCCGGTGCCGCATTTGGTTACTAAAACGTTGGAAAAAAGTCGCCGACGGCTTCCGCTACACGTTATTTCCGGAACCGGATAACGAGCAGTTACCGTTTCCGAACCGGAATATAACGTCGAGCGACGTTATACTCCGGCTGGGAAACGGAACCGCGTGGGGTGAGCCTCCTCCCGGCCTGGATCCGTCCCCGATTTAGAAAAGATTCCCGGCGAAAACGGAAATAAAAAGAAAACGGTCGCGCCCGATCGATCGGGTGGAAGGCGAAAACAATTAGCGGCCGAATTCCCGTAATTACTCGGCGGTAACAGCCAAACCGGCTTCCGTCGGTATTTATTGTCCCCTGCCAGAGGGGGAGAGGTAAAGCCTCGGCCCCTACTCGATACTCCCGCCGTAATAGAAACGGCCGATGGAGCGGGAAACGAATTTACCGGCGCTTAAATTTAAGAAGTCACGGGCCGACCCGGACCCACCGATCGGTTCTTCTTCGACGGGAAAAGAAACGTCAGTCGATGTTAATAACCATCAATAAACACCAAGCGCGTCTACCCAATTTATGCCAATTCTCGCGCGCTGTAGTAACTAGTCTGGGCCCCGCCGAAAGACCTTTACGGAACGTGGTGTAACTCCCTCCGTCGGACATCTCGGTATTCCCAAGTCAGTAGAAATCGTTTTATTTTCCCGGCAAATTTTAATTTAGAGAAGGGAAGCCCCAGATTCTGGCCGACCCCCGTTGGCTTCTGGTAATTAATAGAATAATAACTAAAACGTGCAAAATTCGGTATAAAACGGATAGAGTATTTTCAAAAAACCCATACTGAATCGAATCCTTTCTTCCAAAAACGGTGATAAATTTCCTCCCGGATGCCACTTCCCCAACGAATACTCGGAAAGTTCTTCGACAACTCTTCTTCCGGAATCTGGACGAAAGGGGAGGATCTTTCCCCGGAGTTTCCAAAGACTTTCCATAATTTATATTCGCAGTTTTTCGTGAGAGGTCCGTCTGTCTTTCTCTTTCCTGCCTTCCAAAGATTTATCGCCGACGACAATAAATATTTACAGTTTTTTCCCGGAATCCTGCCCCCGCCATTAAAATCTGTAGCCGGTCCCTCTATCCCTCTTTGCCCGTTACTTTTATTCATCCGTTGGTAACCCGAGTACCTTCGGTGTAATACGACCCCTCTCGTCGTCTCCGCTCGACCTGGTAAAGACCGAGGTGGCCCCACACGGAAGCGCCGTCCGTTCCAAGAAGAGAAAGTGACGTAGAGTTACCGACTGAGAGACTAGTCGGGTATGGGACTTACTCTGCCTGCTTAAAATTTACGAATCCTCTTGATGCTTAAGCATATCTTTCGCAATTTGGAAGAACGCCAGTGAGGTTAAGAGAGCGCAGCCGAATACGGAAAATTTTTAGGTTCGAATCGTTTGGTAGCGTATCTCTTTGGTAAAGCCAATTAGCGAGAAATCGATCTCATCAACATTTTTCTAATAATTTTCTGAAGCGGAGTTCTACGCTTTAGCGGATAAGAGGAAGCGGATACGGACGAAAAAGTACGTCCTCGCTTCTTTCCATAAAAGTGAAAAACTCGTCTTTTGGCCTGGAAGCGCCTTTTTTTTTCCTTTGACAATAGCCATTTTACGGCCTCGATTAAAGGAGAGATAGAAGCGGAATTGACACCGGGCAAAACACCGTTATTCCGGCAGTAGCGCATACGTTCGGGTATAAAGATTTGGTAGGTACTGTTAATTCGGTGGAAGACGATTTCCGTTCTTTCTGTATTTCGAGAAGAGGAATAAACCGCCGGTCTTCTTCCCGTAACCAAACGCCGAAAAACCGGTAGGAGCGCGGTAAAAGTTACTCCGTAAACTATCCGACGACGGTTCCTAATCCCGTCGAAAAAAGTAATATCCTTAAATTACAAATTACTCGTTGGAAAAAGTACCGTAATTCAGTGTTTCTTAATTAACAGGGGCCGTGGCCCCCCTGGATCGATAAGAAGTTTGCCGGGGGCCTCCAAATTATGCAAACTTTCTTTCAGAATATAATAAAAAGAAAATTGATGTATAACCGAATATCGTATTGAAAAGTGAAGTAAGAAAGATAAAGTTTTCGTATTTAGTTATTTATTTATTTATTTCTTATTTCTTCCTACATACAACTTTGTTAGTACAGAAGAAATAAATGCAAATATGCTACTTACATTGCAGAATTTACTTCTTTTATTTCAAAGTAATTCTAAGAAACTATTAATGCTTGGAATTTTAAAAATAAAGCAATAATAAAAAAATTAATTTATTATAGATAATTTAACAAATATAAATTATTATTTAAAAAAATGGTGGTCACAAAAAAATTATGAAATATTTGGTGGGCCGCGAGTATAAAAAGGTTAAGAACCACTGCCCTAAAGTTTCCATATCTGGTTTTGTCTTTCATCTAGCTAACTTCGTTCTTGAGATTAAGGAAAGACAGATGGACGGACGACAGTCCCGACAGGAAACTTATAGACCTACAATATTTTTCAAATTGCAGCCCAATAACATCAATTCGAACCACGGCCATTACTTTTGATATAGGGATAATTCCCAATAAAGATTATCGATATAAACGATATTTTCTATCGATAATATTTATTAGAAACAGTTGCCAAGTTCCATTAAAATTCACACAGTTTGCTAATTTGAGGGAATTCCATCAGCCCAGTTCAAACATAATAAAAAAAAAATGTATATATATAAATAATGCATAATACAAATGCCCAATTTTCAATATCCCTTTAAAGTTATCGAATATCTTCCATCCTCATCTCAGATCAGTAAATATAATTAAACTCCGGTCTAGACGGCATTAAATTAGATTACTATGGAAGCAGTTCTCAAAATGTGTCCGCTATCCCAAGAGGTTCCCTTATACCTCAGGTAAGAGATCGTAAAAGTATTGTTATATGGACGTTTAAAGGAGGTTTGCATGTCTACAAAATTTTTTAAAACCAGGACTTTAAATTATAAATTTTACAGCCCTACCGAAAAAAATGTATTAAGATTTTAAAATTACACTTACAACAGCTTCTATTTAGAAATTGTTTCATCTTAATTTAAAACGGATCAAAATGACAATTTTATATTATTTTTGGGCTGCAATTTAAAAAAATTGCTGCCCAATAATAAATTCCCACTGACATCTGTCTGGCTGTCTTTCCTTAATCTCGAAAATAGAGTTAGATAAATAGTAATCGAGCCCATATATGCAAAGAATATAGCCCGAAGACCCGGATCAACTGTTCAGGAACTTTTGATCTTGACCGGAAGTCACGTGATTTTAGTTGAAATTTTTTATCTAGAACCNGTTTCCGAACCGGAATATAACGTCGAGCGACGTTATACTCCGGCTGGGAAACGGAACCGCGTGGGGTGAGCCTCCTCCCGGCCTGGATCCGTCCCCGATTTAGAAAAGATTCCCGGCGAAAACGGAAATAAAAAGAAAACGGTCGCGCCCGATCGATCGGGTGGATGGCGAAAACAATTAGCGGCCGAATTCCCGTAATTACTCGGCGGTAACAGCCAAACCGGCTTCCGTCGGTATTTATTGTCCCCTGCCAGAGGGGGAGAGGTAAAGCCTCGGCCCCTACTCGATACCCCCGCCGTAATAGAAACGGCCGATGGAGCGGGAAACGAATTTACCGGCGCTTAAATTTAAGAAGTCACGGGCCGACCCGGACCCACCGATCGGTTCTTCTTCGACGGGAAAAGAAACGTCAGTCGATGTTAATAACCATCAATAAACACCAAGCGCGTCTACCCAATTTATGCCAATTCTCGCGCGCTGTAGTAACTAGTCTGGGTCCCGCCGAAAGACCTTTACGGAACGTGGTGTAACTCCCTCCGTCGGACATCTCGGTATTCCCAAGTCAGTAGAAATCGTTTTATTTTCCCGGCAAATTTTAATTTAGAGAAGGGAAGCCCCAGATTCTGGCCGACCCCCGTTGGCTTCTGGTAATTAATAGAATAATAACTAAAACGTGCAAAATTCGGTATAAAACGGATAGAGTATTTTCAAAAAACCCATACTGAATCGAATCCTTTCTTCCAAAAACGGTGATAAATTTCCTCCCGGATGCCACTTCCCCAACGAATACTCGGAAAGTTCTTCGACAACTCTTCTTCCGGAATCTGGACGAAAGGGGAGGATCTTTCCCCGGAGTTTCCAAAGACTTTCCATAATTTATATTCGCAGTTTTTCGTGAGAGGTCCGTCTGTCTTTCTCTTTCCTGCCTTCCAAAGATTTATCGCCGACGACAATAAATATTTACAGTTTTTTCCCGGAATCCTGCCCCCGCCATTAAAATCTGTAGCCGGTCCCTCTATCCCTCTTTGCCCGTTACTTTTATTCATCCGTTGGTAACCCGAGTACCTTCGGTGTAATACGACCCCTCTCGTCGTCTCCGCTCGACCTGGTAAAGACCGAGGTGGCCCCACACGGAAGCGCCGTCCGTTCCAAGAAGAGAAAGTGACGCCATCCTCGGACGCTCCTCCCGGGACCGGCCGCGTCGTTCTGTCCACCGCTCCAACAGGACTCGTAAACGTCGTCGGCTATTCGCCTCCCGCCCGTCACCCACCACCCGTCCTCCTCCCTTTCCGGACCAATTCCTTCCGTCTCTTTGGCCGGAAGGGGATGGAATCTCTGGGTTTAAGGCTCCGCGCCGGTTTCGGGAGCGCCGCTTACCTGGCGGAGAGAGGAAAGTGGTAGGCGGTGGGAGGAGATTCCTCCCTCCGGCGCTCTCCACGCTCCGTCGATCGACCGGAAGTGGAAAAAGGGCGGCCGCGTTCCGCCGGCCGCGCGCCGGTTTCTCGGCCCGCGTGCAAAACGCCCATATATCGGGAGCGCCGTCCGTCGTCGTCACTCGTCGCCCGTTCGCCGACTCCGACATGTCCGACTCCAAAGGTTGCTGCGGTGAGTACAGTACCTTTCCTCCGTCTCCCACTCGCGCTCCTCCGCCAGCGGAAACCGCGGAGGGGAAAACGGATGAATGGTTTCTTTTCTAAATTGCGGATTTTGTCTTTGTGACAGACGACGCCAAGGACTGTTGCCGGGAAGAAGATGGCCGTCGGGAGGAAGGAAAGTGTTCCGGAGTGGAAGGATCCGACTGTTGCCACGCTGCCGATCCCTGTTGCGACCGGGAGAAGGAATGCTGCGGAGGAGACTCGTGCCGCTGCCCCGAAGGGCGTTGCCCTTGCAAGTAGAAGCGGCTTCTTCCCGCCGCACGTAATCCGGGTCTTCCTCTTCCTAGTTCCTAACATGTGATCCAATAAAGATTTTTCGCTCTCTACCTCGTCTTCTTATTTACTCACGGCGCCGATACCGCGATGGGGGAGGGAGGGAGGGAGGAGAACGTTGGCTGTCGTTCGTTTCGCAACGGCGCTTATCAGCGTTGCCCGGGCGCTTTGCTCGATAAGCCCCGATAACCGGAGGAGGGAGGGGTGGGAGGGGAGGGGAGGGAGAAGCGTCCTGATTGATTCAGGTAAGAAACGCGTTCGTGGCGGCCGCCCCACGTTCTCCGAAAACGGATTTCCGGTTCCAGTCCCGCGGGGTAGACGCCGGCCTCTTCTGGCGACGGAGGACGGGCCGTACCCCTTTCCGTTTTCGGTGGAAAGACTCGAAGGGAACAACGCGGATTCCGCCTCGGAGGACGAGGGAGGAGCCAAACAGCCTTCGAATTCCGGGAAAATAACTGAAATGAGTTTTTTTCAGAATGCGGCCTTCCTTCCGTCCGTCTGACTTCCGGATCTTTCTGTCGACGTGTCTGTGGGCGGTTCTGGTCTCGCGCGGCCGTTCGTGTCTGGAACGAAGAGATTCGGGCTATCTACGGATCGATTGCGAAGGGAATGAAAGTCTCCCCTCTTCCGTTTCCGGCGACCATCGACGTCTTGACCTGGCCAACGCAGAACTGGACCGAGCGCCCGACGACTTCTTCGGAAAAATCGACCCGGTTCGTCTCAGACTCTTCGCTTTCGAAGTGTACGACGACTTCCGCCCGCGAACCAAAGGTGCTTTGCGAAGTCTGGAAGTGTACGACACGCGCTCCGTCTTCTCGTGGACGTTTTCCCCACGACACCTAGCCAACCTGACGCATCTGGTGCTGGACAACGCGGGAGTGTATTTTGCGGGCGAAGAGCTGAACCAGCTGACTTCCCTCCGCTTCCTGGAGGTGCGCGACTCGTCCCTGGCCTGGACGTCCCCCGACGGTTTCGCTAATCTGAAGGAGCTTCGTCTTCTGTGTCTGAGCGGCAATCTTCTGAAGACGTTCCGCCGAAACTACCTGCCCAACCCCGCTCCTCACCTGTGGCACCTGGACCTCAGGTAAGCTTAGATTGCCGGAAGTCGGTTCCGACGTCGGACGGGTTTTCGGTTTCGTAGAGAAACCGGAAGCGCGCGGTGGTTAGGCGAATCCGACCGTAAAAGTTAAAGAACACGTAGACGGTCTTCTTCCGGAAGATCACAGGATCGAGACAAAATGAGGATTCTTTTGTAGCCAGTTTAAACGTCAGATTCTGCCGTCCTAACGTTTATCGACCGAAATTGAATTTATTACCGGGTAGTCGGTAGGTCGCTATGGCGTTTCCTTCTTCCAAGTGCCTCCCTCGCAGTTAAAATAGTTTCTCCCATTTGTCCTTTCAGACGATTATAAGTCGCATGGAAGAGCTCTCGTCTTCGGTACCTTTTTCGACGGAAGGAGCAATTTACAGAAGGTAGAGTAAATATTTCGGAAATAAACGGGAGGAACGAGTCTCGGCTCAGACATTTCGTTGTTTCTAACCGGTATTAAGAAGAAACGGACGAAGAATCGTCGGGAATGAAGTCCGTGCCGGTCCACCGTGATCTGTAGATAACCGTATGGTCGTGACACTTCTTTTGTTCGTCTAATTAAAATCGGTAAGACGTTATTTTTTGCCGCTATTAGCGCTCCCATCGTATGTCGCCCAATTTTGTATTATATACGTGGGAAAAAAAGATTTTATCTGTTATCTAGCTTGGTTTTCTGCCTTTTTTTCACAGTAATTTAACTAAGGCGAATATAGATTACTACGGGTAAAAAGTACAATATTTCTATCTAAAACTACAAATAATTATATTCATGTTTTATTTTAGTTGAAATTGAGAAGAATGTCCACATCTTTGCATCTGTTGTAAGTCACGCTACGCTGTATAAAAAGGCATTTTAAAAAAACCCCGGAAAAAGGCATTTTTTAAGCCAAAGATCGGTCGAGTAAATCTGTCTAACCATCAAATCTGAATCGTTACAGCACAAGCCAGTTAAAAATACTACATATTGATACAAAAGAAACTTTTCCGTGACATTTATAAAACAGAATTTATAAGTTGAAGCCGATTAATTTTTATTTTTTAGTATCTGAATCATCACATGGAAGCACATGTGAAATGCAATTAGATCCTTGTGTGGACAGATGCCAGAGCAGTTCATGGGCAGGAAATTTCTCCAGTTGCAATCTCTAACGAGTATGTTTATCCAGAAGTATATTACTTGAGGCGTAAACACGGGAAAAGAACGAAATCTAAATTTGCCAATGAGGAGAAGGGAGAGTTAAGATGAACTCCCTCTTCTCGTTACGATGAACGAGGGGTGCGAACTTAATGTGGGTGTGTTTGTCGACACCGAGACAGTCACTTTTACGTAACAAGCCGTTTATTTGGAAAACGATACTTAATTCCGGTGGAAAATTTCTTCTCTTTCTCTTACTCTAATCTATATGGAAAAATCTATACTGTTGTAAGCCTGAAGAAAGGTAGCCTAATGTGAGGTTGCCGAATTGTGAACCCAAGTCGGGACGGAAGAAAATGGAGATTAGTATTTGAGCGTGACGGATACTGAGACAGACTCGATAGTTACTTAAGTACAATTTTATAAGGAAGTTTGTTTATTAGGAGGATCGATGCTATTCAATTTTTGTGATTAAAGGTCGAAGGGGTGGGGGTGGTGCGTGTCTCCAGTAGGGTGGAACTTAATGGTGATGTTACTGGTTATTAACATTTACGAATTTTCTTTTTATATAGCCTATATATATAGTCTATAGGCCTATATATAAAACTCGTCCCTACTCTCAAAATTAAGCTTTTTGTCGTTTTATAATAATTAAAGATATAAATTTTTAAAACATAAATATGATAACAGATGGCGTCACCATAATTTTAAATGCTACCGGGAAAGTTAAGCGACTGTTTGCTGGATTATTTTGTTCTGACATTTATTCTACAAAATAACATATTAGAAAATAATGGAAAAAATAATTAATAAAGTTTTGTAGTTAATAATCCTTTTTGCTGTTCTGAAAAAACAAATACAATCCTTTATTAAGAAAGCACGATAGGAGAAAAACTGGTTAAATACGATCAAATGTTGGCAGAAAATGGCAAATTACCGATTTTACAATTTAGGACGCGTTTGGAAATTGTAATTGGTGTAACCGGTAACACCGTAACACCGGTTACAATTTGTAAACGTGCCCATTGTGTCGCGAACACAGTTATCTATAGAACACGTACGAACGAATCTCGTCCCCTTTATCGAACGGCCATTTTAACCGGTCTCGGTAGTTCAAAGCGCCAATTGGTTCTTTCGTTAACTGGGCGCTCCGAGCCGACGGGTAGTTAGCGTTCCGGAATTCCAGGTAAAATGCTCCAGGGAAGTCGAACTTTTTTGGAAATAGAGCAAACTCCTTTTTACTCTTTCGACTCGACTCCCTTTTATTTGTGCGAAAGGCAAACCTTTATGTATTTTGGAAGGCGTCGGGAGATAACAATTTAATACGTAAACGATAAAAGATAAGGATTTTTAAAGGAGTGGCGCGGTGTCTCTCTGGTTACCGGAAAATTTGTCTCGCTCTCTTTAGATTAAATAGTCGATAGACTGAGGCGTCTCCTCCCGCCACATACTTATCGCTTTCCATCGTTTCCACCGTAACGTAAGCACGGATTATGGTAATTGCCTCGGAAGCGTGGTATTTTTAGCCGGTCGCGGCATAAATATCGCGTTCCGAAGATTCCGACCGAAGTGGAATGGGCCGGGAGAGCCGACGGGACTTTCCGCACTCACCTTTACTCTTTGCAGCTTCAACAGAATCGTGGAACTGCCCGCCGACTTCTCCGTCGGCCTGCCCCGCCTGAGGGAGCTGAAGCTGGACCACAATCGACTCCGAAGACTTCCAGACGAGACCGCGCCCCTTTGCCACCTGCGAGAACTCTGGATTCACGGTGAGTCCCCGTTTTTTCTCTCGCTCCCGCACCGGCGCCACTCTCTGAGATGGCAACGGAGTGAGAGGACGGAAGAGGAAGTAGAAACATTCCTCTGGGTTTTCCGTCGACGTAACTCGGAATTAATGGGAAAATCCGCTCGGTCCCATTAATTTCCTTTTCCTTCGCTGGTCTTTTTATTTTAAACGCCTCCTCGTATCTGATTTTTTCTTCCTTTGATTTGCAGGTAACCCGCTGTGCGAAGAGAAAGAAGTAAAAGATCAGTCGCAGTGCTACCCCCCCGACTCGCTTTGTTCCTTCTGTCAAAAATAAACGTGGCCGTATTTTCATCACTCCGAAGAAAGTGTCCGCCGTCGACTTTTTTGGCAGCGGAAATTTAGTAGTTGTGGTTTGAACAAGTTTTAGTCCATTTTAAAATAAAAATCTTTTGACTTCTTAATTTTGTGTTTCGTTTCCAAAGTTTTCGGAAAAAGAAACGGAGAGTAAATTACGATATGGGTCGAAATGACCATGCCATCTTTCTTGCCACTTCCGGGCGCCAAAGACAGGGCGGCCTCCTTCCTCTGATTGGTTAATTACCAATAAACGCGTGGTACTCCCGGACCCGTTTTGGGGTCAGGGCGTACCCCCACCCCCACGCATTCCGTTTCCGAATAAAAACAAAAGTTTAATTTGTCGGTCTTTCGCGCAATTTGACTATTGTCAACCCGTTATTTTTATTAACGTAAACTTCCGTCCCGTCGTTCGAGGGACGTTTTCTTTCGATTCGGATAAATTCTTCCGTATCCGAGGGCCGATCCGGAGTGGGAGACCCCACGTTCCGGCAGCCGACGGAGCCGTGGAGAATGGGGATAACAATTTTATTAATTTTAATAATTACACCCCTTTAATGAATTATTTACGCGCGGTTTATTGGAAAAATGGAAAAACGCCGTTGGACGACGTTTTTTCCAAGTACTTGGAATTTTTTGTCTACGTTGCTACGGGTGACGTCACCCGGCATTGGGTGGTTGGGATTCGATCTTTCTCTCGTTCCTCGATGGCTTTACGTTACTCCGGTGTGACGTGTTAATAGCCGGTGCCATTCTAACCTATTTACGAGTACTTACAGTATACGCTAACATCTTAATAATAAATCTAACCGAAATCTATTTAGTAAATCGAAGTAATTCGACGATAATTTGTATAAAAATTTTAAATGTAATTTGCTAGCCACGTTTCCGGTCGACGTCTTTCCCAGTTTATTCAATTGTAATCGAGTAGACAAAAAACAAAGAATCGACAGTGACGACGGTCAAAGACCGACTATATCTATGGGATTTACAGTTGCCATTTTCGCGGTGATTTCTCCGCCCCCAAACGCCTAATGTAATTCTGAATATCTCGTCGGAAAGATAACCGTATCCTTCGGTAGCTCGCAAAATTTCGGCCCTTTCTATAAAGTGGTTGCCGAAATATAAGCCAGGGAAAAGTGCAAAAATTGCCAAAAAAAAAAAAGCCGTATTTTCTTCTTTCTTTCGTCCGGCACTGAGGACGAAATAAAGAATCACCGGGTGTAGAAATCTAAAATTCTAAACTCGAGCTCCGTCTTTATCGGGAAAGGGCCATCCGAACTTCCGGGTTCGTAGATCAAAGTTGACAGAGGTGGGTAATAGACCGTTTTACTTTCTTGGCTTATTTTTGTACTTACGAGAATAAAGTTGCACGGAGACGAACGATATTTATTAAAATAGTTATCCGGAACGACAAAAGGCCGAGTTTACGCCAACCAAAACTAAAAATATTGGGTTAGGCCGGGAGAAGATAGGATAGGGATGCGCTTAAGGATTTATTAAAGTAGTCGACGGAAACGAGGTGGGCAAAAAAACTGGTCATTAAAATCCTGGATATAAATAAGAAGGATAGCTTTCCGCTTCCTTTCGTCTAAGCCCGGCGCGCGAGACAGAAACCTTTACCACACCGGAAAGATGGAGGGGTGGGTCCCATCCGCGGGTATTAATCGAGTCGGACGGAACCGCGCCGGTCCTGGCTTCTTCCATCCGCGAATTTCGACAGACCAGTAGGGAGGCCAGAGAATTTGCGGCGCGCGCCGCGCCGGTCGCACCGTCGGCCGGGAAGGTGCCAAGAGTTTCTCTCCTCCCCCCCGGCGAAAAGAGCGACGACGCGTTGATCCGGGTCCCGGGTGGGCGCCGGGCGGGGAGCCAGAGCCGACGACGTGGCATGGACGAAGAGGAAGCCGGAACGCCGTCCCTGGACGGAGGCGGAAAAGAGAGCCGGGAGAGGGAGGAAGAGGCGCGGATGGTGGTGATGGGCAAAGATGGAACCGGCAAGTCGGGTAAGACCCCTCTCCGAAAGGGAGCAATTCCCTTAGGAGACCGAACGAAAGGATCTCTGACTCTTCTTTTCTCGGCAGCCCTCATCGTCCGTCTGCTGACCAGAAGATTCATTCACGAATACGACCCCACTTCCGGTAAGTTGGTCTCCCGTTTCGAATTTCCGCTGGGGACGACCGGCGCGCGTTTCCTATTACGGAACGGCCTTCTATCGCCGGAGGGGGTGGCGGTAAGTTTGGGAACGGCGAACGTCCGAACTATTATTAAGTCGGAGAAGTGGGCGGGATGGGTCGGGCGTTAAATTTAGTTCAGAAGAGGCTAAATCGGTACGGGATCGGCGGCGCAGACGTCATCCGGGCGTAAACACGGGATTACCGGTTACGGGAGAAAAACTGTCGGACGCCGTCGATGCACTCGTTAATTCCGGAGGAACGAGCGAGAAAAGGCCAATACTTATTGTTACTTTCACTCGCCGGTCTTGTAATTAAACATAGATTTTGGGAACTCGACCAAGCCGTCCCAGGTTCGTTCCCGGTAAGTAATTAAAAAACAAACCGGCAAAGGATAACGGCCCTAGGTTCCGATTTTGGCACAGTTTTATATTAACAATAAACTACGGTTAATTGTTAATATCTTACTCTCGTCGACGAAGCCAAGCGGGAAAAGGCGCGGAGGGGCGTATGATGAGTCGGACGTACCGTACCCGAAATGGGCGAAAAGAAAATACACCGGTTGGAAGTAAACGGACAGAGATATATGGGAGAGAGCGAGGTTGCGTCGGTAATTAAGAAGCTAAGGATCGGTTCTCCGCTTCCTCCTTCCTCGTCCGGTCGTCGTCGGAGGGGAAGAACCGCAGAATCCAACGGAAAGATTTCTTACCGTAATAAATAATAAAAGAAATCGACGTATTCCAAAGAAAAGAAAATTTCCCATCGCGCGCTTTTTCTGTCTACAGTTTCGGTAAAAAAAAAATCAAAAATTAATTTCGTCGATCGACCGCTTGTAATTGGTCAAAACCGGAAGTTCTCTATTCGCCACATCTTTATATTTTGCTCCTTCTGTTCCACCTTCGACGAAGCCGGGTTAAGGACCGGAGTGGAGCCGTTCCTTAAGAGGGCGCTCAGGAAACCGCTTAACCTTTTCTAAATCTACCTATTCTAAGTCTACCTTTTCTAGGAGAAGAAATATGGAAAATGGCGCAGGCGCTTTCCTCCGGGCACAACTTCTGGCCGACCCGGAAATCGGTAATTAACAAGGAGTCCGAACGGCCGTTTTCTCCTCTTCCTTCCCCGGTCGGTGGCCGCTCGGTCTTCTCGCCACTTTATTTTTCGGAAACGGCCACGGAGAAGCGACGTTACGGTAGGCGGCGTGGCGCCATCTGGAGATAAAGAAATTAAATACGGTAGCCGGAGGGTGGGTAGGCCTCCTCCACCATCGCCGGGACTTTTCCCCTTTACCAATACGGAAAAGGACCGGGCCCGGGAGTAGGCGGGGACGGGATTTTCGGTCCGCCTTCTACGGCCGACGGAGACGGGACCGAAACGACCCAGGCCGCGGGTGAAAAGTCGGGTCGAACGTCCAATTAGCATCGAGAGAAACGACCTCCACCCAGAAACCGGCGTGGGTTAATTTGTGGAAGAAAAGTCTTTTCCGGGCAAAGTTACCACCAGATGGTTTATGGCAAATTACCGATACGAGAATCGTTTCTGCCTGGAATTACAGTGGACCTCAATCCGTTCCTGATGTTTGGATTTATACCGAATAGGACGTATACCAAACCAATCTTTCCCATAAGAAGTAATGTAAAAATGATTAATCCGTTCTCATGTAAAAGAAAATGGCTGGCTTTAAACACCTCGCTTTCCTGGCTAGTTCCTGCTTGAGTTTTCATGAGATCAACATTTATCTTTTTAGCTTTCTCGCAAATAATTGCTTCTGATACGCTGTCTCCAGCACTGTTCTTCAGTTATCCAAAGCAAAAGCAATTTCTCAACACGATCTAATGTCTTCGATCTCTGTTTAGAAATTGATTTAACTCCTTTCCCAACGTTATCAGATTTAATAATGTCTATTTTTCACGATTATCGTCGTTCTCGGAATACGGTATGCAACAGTTAAATATCGAACACGCGTGCCACCTTCGTACTTTTCAACAATCTCTTTTATCAGTTCCATTGTGATTCTAATCATTTTTTTTTTTAGTTTTCTGTTGCTTCTCATTTGCCTTTTCGCAATTCATGATTAATAAAAATAATAAAACGTTACTTACAAATTAAAATCAGAAGAAATTTAACAAAGTTATAAGATGTGGTACCGCGAACATCTAGTCTGGTTTAGTACACCGATAGTGCTACTTGTTCATAGATGGCGCGTATAATTGAATTAAGTCGTATACCGAACAAAAGTCGTATACCGAGCAAAATTTGTTTCGTCCAAACAGGACGTATTCTAAAGCAGACGTATACCGAGGTACCACTGTATAAGTATCCAACAGTAGGTGCTTTTTAAATGTCAATAGAAAGGTTGCGGCCGACGTTTTCANTTACCCCATCGGCCCTAATTACGCCCAAATCCCGCAGTAGGTCCCGTCTCTGGTAGCGAGAAAGGGACCTACCCCGTCTTTCCACGTCCGTAGTTTCGTTACGTTTCCGGGTGGACGGCGAGAAACTGATTTTGCTTAAAATAATTATATACAGAAATTATTTAATTATTCAATTTTTTGCAAGTGATGTGAAGTGCCTATAGAATTTACATATATTTCTATTCATAATAACTTATCATAGTTCTTTAGGAGTAGTTTGTTCTTTCACAGCATCTTCTACCATCAACAGTGTAATACGTTTGTAAATGTTCTAAAAAAATTCCCGAGCTGCTTTCGGATTTACATAAGCCACTACTTCCCTCAACTAAAGTATAAGGTAGTCCTATCGTACGGTAGGAGACACAGCGCTAATTTAAAATAACTATTTAGTGTTATTAAACATCCTATAAATACTTTAAAATAGTTTAATTTGTTTATTTACCTTCGCTGGTAACATTCGTCGTTGTTAAACGTTTCCGCCATTTTTCAACAATATCCCCTAAGTCAGTGCGCGACGTGAACGTGTGGCGCAACGTGTTTTACTTCAAGTTCAAACGTCAAACGTGTACTTCTGCTTGCCGTATAAGTTTAACGTTTGAACTTCGGCCGCAACCTCTATATTTTATACTTTTTATATACGAGAGAAAAGAGTTCCGCCTAGTGCCACCCATCTAAATATTTTGCATAATTTGAAGTCTGTTCGTTTTCCAGGTACGATACGTTTCCACCTAACGATAGATCTTCGTTCGTCGGCCCGGTCCCTTTTCCCGCCGTATCCTCCTGTCGGAGAGAGAGAGGAGTCGTCATTCCCTCCTTTCCTCTCTCTCTCTCCGACTCCACCGGAAGCGTCGTCTTGTTACATTGGTCGTAGACCCTGGATCCAGTTCGTTTCGTTCCTCCTATAAAACTTTCATCCCGGGCTTTTTTTTTCAACCGCTTTCACCGTCAGATTCTTCCCGTCCTTCCCCCACCGCCACGGCTGGACGCCAACGACGAATACCGTAAAGTACGTATTTTGCCCAATCCGTAAATACGGTTTCCCTCGGCGGGCCACACCTTTTTCGACCTGCCGCGTATCTACTACCTCGACCATCTTTTCTCCGTCTCCTCCGAGAATTACGTTTACTCCATTGGGCCACGGCGCCGCCCGTTAAAAGTTTTACGCACCCGACCATCTACGTCGCTCGTCCCCAGTGTTAAGTTATAAAATGTGCCATGTTCGAAGAGTTTTTGCAACTAACAATTACGAGGAAAGGAAGGAAACTCGGACAATTTTTCGTTACCGAAACGTCCTGAAAACTAGATATTGGGAGAGGGTCATTTTGTATAGAAGTTAGCCCACGCCTAAATTTAATTAATCCCATTTTAATAATTCCTCTAAAGTCGGAAAGAAAACTTCACGTCGCGCCACTTAGTCGACCAAAGGTTACGCTCGAACCGTCGATTGTTGGGGTCAAATAATTATTTCGAACTTGGCAATAAATAAAATACTCTAGTCCGGATTATTCTAAAAGTTTTCGTAAACCATAACGTTAAGCGGGATTTTTCCAAATCTGCCAAAAGCCCGTACCGCTTTTCTTGTGTCGAATAAAATACGAAAGTAAACTCGATAAGAAAATTTCGAACCCGAAATGTTTTATTTGTTATCGGGAAAAACGAATACATTTGTTTCTTGCAAACCGACACGCCTCGAATCTTGCGCGTACACACAGCTGACATTTTTTTCGAAAGATGTTTAATATTAAAATAAAGGCCCATTGCATGTCTATCGAGTGCAAATACGGTTAAACTTGGATTTAGCACCAACATTTGTTCGTCTTCGACGTTGGCGTAAAATCGAACGTCGGGCCCAACGACGTAAGTATTGTAGAAAATAATAATTATAACCTATATAACAATACCCTAGGAACACGCTTTTGGAATTCAAAGGTGGAAACTTACGCGATTTACATTAAAGACGTGGCCTGCCACGCGAAATTTAACGAAACTACTTACCCAGTTACCCAATTATCAAGGGCGGCAGAAAAATATTAAGCCGGGCGGGCCGAAGGTGGAAAAAGGAAGAGAAATGCGGACGGGTGAGCGAGTAATCGAGTGTTTTTCTTTTCAGAGGACGTCTACGCCTTCGAGACGCTGATCGACGGGAAGAGGGCGCTGATGAAGATCATGGACACGGCCGGGCTGGTGAGTCTTTCTCCTACTCTTTCCTCCCCCGTCGGCGGACGGCTTTCGACTGTTCGCTCCCCTTCCGAAACAGAAGACCTCCGCCTTTCGGTCTTTCCGGTTACCTTCGTCCTCCGGAACCCACCCAAATTCGTTCGGAAGTCCGTTGACCGACGTCGGAAACGCGTAAACGGGTTTACGCTTACGACCTTTTGGCCCGCCGCCCGAAGAAACAGACGGGAATTATTCCGTCCACCCTGGAAAAAATTCTTTCCGTCCTATAAACGGCCGATCGCGGCTTGGTTCGTTACCCCATCGGCCCTAATTACGCCCAAATCCCGCAGTAGGTCCCGTCTCTGGTAGCGAGAAAGGGACCTACCCCGTCTTTCCACGTCCGTAGTTTCGTTACGTTTCCGGGTGGACGGCGAGAAACTGATTTTGCTTAAAATAATTATTACCAAAGTTGGAAAGTTTTCTTTCCTTATTCGAATTAACTCCTTTAAAAGAACGTCTCTGATACGGTCTTTAAACGCCGTTTCATACTAATGCCGCCCGGTCAGCGGTGGAAATTCCCGACGGAAGTCGAGCAAACGTCAAACGACGCTCTTACTTCCGTTTCCGGTTTCGGAGGTTCCGGAACCTCTAAGGAGGTTCGTCTCCGATTTCTTTCTTCGTTCCGATTAATTTTGCCGTCGACGTTATTTCTTATCGACCGGAACCGCCGTTCTTCCTGTTCCTCTTAACGGAAACTGGCGTCGGGATTCCGTTAAAATCGAATTAAAGAGCAGAAGGAAGAAAATTCCTCATCCTAATGACGACGTTGGAAAAGATCGTCTCTTACGCGTTTATCCGGATCTTTCTTCGAATTATTCTTGTGAACATCCTCAGATATTACTAAGTTGTATTCGACTTCTCCAATACTCCAGCCCGTAGCAATGCCAGGTTTGGTAGAAACGATTGGAATCAAAAGCCACGTGAACCATTCCGCGCCCTCTACCGGAATATTCCGAATGGCACCCGAAATAGCCCTTCGTCGCGTCACCCGATTACTCCACCCACTCCTTCCGGAAACAGTCGAATTCGACCCGGGCGCCGATTTCCGTCCGTAACGGACGTTATTCTGCCCTACGAATAGCACCCGGATTCGCGTGCGGGGCTCCTAACTACATCCGACAAGGATGCACCGCGGCCGGATACGAACTCGTCGCCTGGAGTAAAATCTAGGATTACGGGTGCGGAATTCGCTCCTTCGGCACGGAAATCCTTAGTCCCAATCAAATTTGCCTTCTTCCCGGGACGGGTGGATAAAATGTTAGAGGGTGGCCGGGAGGCGCCGAGACGGTGGGGTTTACCGGACGAGGGAGTCCGGGATCGCCGGCCCGTAGCTCGATCCGCTTCCCCTGCCGGTCACGTGACTGGTTCTATTATCCTTCCCCGGCGGAATCGGAACCTCATTGTGTCGATCGCGACCGCTCCGCGCGCCCTCCGATCGATGTCTTTAATACTTAACGAAGCCGTCCGAAGTTTAAAGAAATTTCTTTCCCCCCCGCACCCCTCTCCGGGGGCGGCTCCGGGGGTTTTCTTTGCAGGTGGAGAGAACGGCGCGTCGAAGGGAAAGACAGATCGAGTGGGGCGACGGATTTCTGCTGGTCCTGTCTTCCACTAGTCGAGAGTCCCTGAGAGACGCCGTCCGCATCAAGGAGATGATCGACCGACTTCCGGAAAATCGGAAGAAGCCCCTGGCGCTGGTGGCCAACAAGAGGGACCTGGTGCACGCCCGTGAGGTGACTTCTGCCGAAGTGCGCGAACTGGCTGGTGGATGGCGCTGTCGAGTCTTCGAAACTTCGGCCACCGACGACTACGGATCCGTCTCCGAACCATTCTTCGCCCTGTACCGCGATATCCTGAGGGACAGGGAGCGCCGGGGGCTCTTCCCTCGCTGCTGCCCGTCCGAGGGCGAAATAGCGCTATCCGACGTGGACAAGAGATACAGGAACAGGCTGTCCACTAGATGACCCTTTCTTTTCTTCGTTCGGCCCCAATTGCCTCCCGGGTTGAATCTCTCGCCCTCCTCCTCCTTACCCCGTTAGGCTTTATTTACGCGCCCAGACGGAATCGGAGCGTCGGGAAGAGAAACGTAGAGGCTGCGGCCTGAAGAAAATGTACTCGTTCGTCCGCAGATGCAATAAAACGTTGCGTTGAAAGCGGGAATTTTTGTCAATTCACAAACCAAAGAAAACTAATTTGTAACTTTCGGGAGGCGACCATACATTCGTCGTAAGAAGAACGGCCACTCAACCCCTCCGTCCAGTTATCCGGTGGCTTCTTTTCGGAATTTTTAACGATGGAGGCCGATTTCCGCGACTTTTATAACTAAGTGTCCGGCGGGGTTTATCCAATCGTCACGCTCCCCGGAATTAGGCGCAAAGAAAGAGCGACCGAGGACCTTCTTCCGTCCACGTCGGTTTATCGAAAACACCAACCGCGTGGCTCGATCGGCGGGCGCGCCACTCCGCGCTCCCGTCTCCCGGAGACGTCGGGCCGGAAATTATCGGGCCGGACCCGAATATGAGAAGAGAGGAAAGACGGGATGTCCGTCGAGGAGAGGAAGGAGGCGTCCGAGAGGCCCGGGAGCTAAACGAAGAGGGGCGGGCCGCTAATCGACTCTCCCGGACTCGGATAACAAAAGACGGAGGGACACGGGCGGCGGGAGGGAAAACCGTCGGCGCGCGACATTAACGCGCGCGTAGGGGTAGGCGGAGCCTCATTAAGGACGCCGTCGGGTCGTCAGCTGTGTCCACATTACGCGGTAGAGGTAGCTTCCGAGTTTGTTTAGGAACGGGTGTCGATCGCCTCCGTCATTCGTCCCGGAAAATTCGAGCTTCTCAGGTAGGTCCGATCCCTCTTTATTGTTTTCTCCGGCTTCTCTTCCATATTTTCGTTTCCCGGCTCGTTCCCGGTCCGAGGACCCGTTTTCGCACCTCGAAGAGGTACCGGTTCGATCTCCGGCTGGGGTGGCGCGAATTTTTACGGGAAATAAATAGACAAAGCGCGCAGTGGTCGAGTAAAGAAGGGAAGGGGAAGGGAAACTATTTTACCCGTAAAAATTTGTACTCGGTTTCGAATCCGAGACCAAGCGTAATTCAGCTTCTGCGTTTTACCTTGGTTTTCTGCTTTTCTATTGTTAGGAGATGACAACGTGGGATTGGAATTTACACGAAAACTTAGTCTGGAGTTCGTATCCTGGAAAAGTTTACAGATTTTACTTAGCAGCGCCGCTTTTCGACTTCTTTCGCTCTTCTTGGGAAAGAAGTTTTTCGATTTTAGACATTTCCAAATTGGATTTTACGCGTAGAAGAGAATCTCACCGTTCTGGTCCGGGGTTGCCGCCGATCACGAGTGGGAAACTAAACGATGGCGGGTCAGAAAGTTGACTATTCCGCCCGGCCCTTTAATTCCACCGCATCCGCGATTCCCGCTCCGGAGGAAGGTCGATGAATCTACCAGAAGCCTCACCCTTTCGGAGGTCGTCGTCGATCTTGCCGAAAGGAGATGTTTCCCTCAGGTAGGTTCTTCGTTTCACCCGGCAGCGGACGGAGGACCGAAGCGAGTCTGCATCCTAAAAAGCGGCCACAATTACCGACTGATGCAACTTTAGGCCGACGCGTCGTTTCTCTTTCCGCCAGGTGCCTTTTACCCGCTTCTCGGCTATCTTTAGCTTGGTCGACGACGGCTGGCAAGGAAAGGGAGCGAAATATACAGAAAGAGACCCGAAGGGCTACCCGCCTCCTTCCATCCGCCCGCGGTGCGGGAGAATGTCGGAAGAGAGGGGGAAATTTCCGCAGTGGGAATCTTCTTCTTTCGTTGTCCAGACGAACAAGTGATGGCCGACCGGGCGGAAGAGACCCCACTCCTTGCTTTCCCTAAATCGTTGGGTTTAAAAGAAAGATTGTGGCAAATCCGTCCGTCTCTTTCCCCGTCCGGCCATCCTAGTCCGACGGGAGGCGCCTAGTTTACGACCGGAAGGAGGAGAGTCGAACGGCCATCGAATACTTAACGGCGGGAACGGACGGGTCGTCGTCTTCCGAAACGACATTTCCGCCAAAATACGGGTCCGAATTGGCTTTTCGCGGGAGGAGGGAAAACCCATTCACGTCTTATCTTTTCCGCCGTTCCCCTTTTTGCTACTGTGAATCCGGGCGGGCCACCGCGCTTCTCTGTAGGTACTTAAACGGCCGCGGCTACTTCCCGGGTCCGAAATTTTCGTTCCTGTCGACCGGAAGAGGTAAAAGGCCTAACGAAAGCCTTTTACCTCTTCCGATTGACGGGTTTTACTTAAGTCCCACCTCCTGAAGGCCCGGGGCGCTTCCCTTTCGAACGTTAGGTCCGGTTATGGCGCTATATAATACCGACGTAACCGTCCCCCATTTTAAATCTCCACTTTCGATTGACCGATCGTAGATAACTTTACTGGCCTAAAATATTTCGTCGATAATTAAAAGGAACCTCGGCCCGTAACGCGACCCACTAGACCAAGATCCCACGGCACCCGATTCCTCCCGAATCAAAATAAGGTCGACGCGTTAATTAGGCCTATTAAGGTAAAATTGTTTTGGTCGAATTGAGGCGGCCCCTCCTCCCAAAAAGGTTTGGTAAAGTATTGTATTTCGTGTAAAACTGCGTACGACGTTTCGTCCTCCCGTTCCGCTCTCTACGTAAACGCCGTCTGCGACAGCCCAAACGACGTAATTTACGCAGTCAGGAAATTACCCGGGCGTGAGGTACAAGCTTTTCCGTATTTACCGGGAGAAGAGTAAAAAGACGGGATTTTTTCCAGAACATTCAACGATAGACCAAATGCCGGGAAAGGGAGAGAGAGTACAAATTTAAACGCGCGATTTAAGGACGAAACTGTACACAAAATTACCAGTTGGTAGCCGCGTTCCGGGAAAAGGCGTAAGTTCGATGCATTTTTATTTAGTAGAAAGCGCAAACGACCAAAAGAATAAGACAGTAAATTCGAACCGTACGGAAGAAATAGTATTATACAAAGGATAAAAAGGGAACGACAGCCGAGCTACGAAAGAGTTACTTGGTAAAAATCGTAAACGGTCTGTTTTTCAGTGGCCACGCGAGTATCGGCGTGAGGATAGTGTGCCTTTAGGCCGTCGTCCGATTTTCTACAGCTTACACCCCCATCAAAGGAGCCACGGCTAAGCCAGAACTCCTTTTTGCAGCGAGTATCGTGTAACGGACGAAATAATAAGTAGCCGACGATCCTATTAGGCGCCAATTGGCTAACTTTTTCGTCTTTTTTCTCCCCAAATCTGGAAAATATTTGCTCTTTGCTTTCCAGCCCGACGGCTACAGATGCAACCCTCGTTAGGTTAAACCCGCCGACGTGGATTTAACGTAACCCGTATACTGGACCATCCGTATGGCGGAGTTATTTCTAGTGCCCGTCGATGCAAATTCCAATTTAAACCCGAAGGTAAAAACATACGAAAGGACGACGTGGCCTTAAGCGTCACCAACGTCAACACCGCCGGGGCCCTGGGGATAAAACAGTCGGCGCCTGTCTCGGCGGAATTTTTCGGGTTTCTCGGGGCGTCTTACACCTAAGTAGAACTAGGATCCCTTAAAAAGTCCAGTCCCATAAAAAGACTGGCGTGATAAGGAACCAGAAGGAGGCCGTTCAGCGACCACCCATCCACCCCTCGAATTTATTAAGACGACGTTTGTTAAACGGGTGGTTTATATCTATTTGCCGTAAAGTAGATCGTTGGATGGGTTGGTCCGGGCCGAAGCCATTAAGTAACGCGCAGATAAATTTATACGGAAATACATTTTCCATGGCGCTATAAAATACGGAGTCTTCCCAAGGTTACGGCTAACCGATAAGGCTTTACGGTAAGCCCAGGGAATGTCTACCTCCGGCGCGGACTAGGGGTCCTTCCGCCTACAAATGAAATGACTCTTATCCGACGTCTTTCTCCATCCGTGTAAAGTTACCATCGGAAGAAACAAAGAAAAGACAAAGACCAAAGCCCGGCCGGGAGAAAGGAAGAAATGATCGGATCCCCGTGTGCGGGGGTGGGCTCAAAGAAGGGTAAGGCGTCACCCTCCGGCCCGGAGACAATCTCTTCCGTCATTCTGGCGAAACTAGGACCGGTGGCAGCGAGAGACAAGGGCGGCGGTGACGTTCACTTCCCAAATATTCGGCCAGTTAAGGAAGCGAATTCTAATTATTAGGAAATGGCCGGTGGCCGTCCGGGACCGAAGCGGGAACGGAGGAATACGGGGAAGGGGTCGGATATCGATCGATGGGATTTAAGGCGGAGTGCGGACCGCTTAACGCCCCGGTGGCAATCGACTCCGGGTTAATGGCCTATTTCTGTTCTTTTAAAATGCGTATTGTTCTTTAACAATAGCGCCGTTCCCGCCGAACGTTCGCTCGTCCTCTTCCCGCTCGGCTCTCCCAACACGTTTCCACTCGACAATTCTTACTTGTTATTACCGGAGATGCCGCCTCACCTTCTCCGCTATCGTCGAAAAAAACACCGGTCTCCCGTTACCGCGGTTTGAAATCGGCCGCCGGTTTTGTCCCTCGACGAATATCGTTTTTGTTTCCGATCGGAAGGTCGATTTGACCAGGCGTCGGGAACAAATCGTGGAACGAAAAGACCAGAAAACACTCCGTCTTTAGCCGGGTGCGGCGGAATACCCGGTTCGATTTGTATCTAAATGCGTATTTTATAACGGTAAGTTCTTCGCCCGTCAAATTACGAAAGGAAGGCGCCCGGACCCGGGTCTACTTTCCTCCGCCGAGTTTTCGCCCTCCCGGAAAAGCGGAGGGGATCGTATTTCGGAAGGGATGGTCGATATTCGGCGGCGACGCCTTATTCTTTGTTCTTCTCTCCTCTTTCTACTTCTTTCCTTCCCTTTATCGTTCCGCCCTTTCCGTTAGTCCGATTTCGTACCGTTTTACGCTTCCGTATTTGGTTATTTCACCCGGCCGGAATTTCCCCACGTCGTTTGTCTCTAATAGTGTTTAATTTCTTGCGCTTTGCTAGGCGTCATTGCCGACGTTTCTGGATATTTATACCAATTTGCTGCATTTCCCGGGGACTTCCTTTCGGTCGAGGGAAGTGGCGGAGGTATATTTGTATCATCCGATAGGGATGCAACCACTAGGAAAGTACTAAGCCCACCCGAGCCTCGGGAGCCGGTAACTTTTCCGATAACCCCGGAGACAATTCGTTAACTAAGTAAAGCCGATGTCGGAAATCCCAACTAAGCGTCGAATTGACGCCTCGTCCCGCTTCCCGTCACGATCCGTAGCGCCATTGAGCTCATCCGCCCTCAAATTAAGCAACGCGTGGCATTTCCGTCTCTTAATTTACTAAGAACGAATAGGCCTAGCCGACACGGGGCGAAACGTTACGTCATTTCTCTAACTACGTTATAACATATAAACGGGCCAACAACGACAGGCTACGCTTCCTAAACGGAATCGAATCGTCTCGTCACACCGGGGTCTGGTGTAACCCGCCGGTAAGTGCCTCTGTTCCCCGGAAACGCTCACCGGTCACCCGTGGAAGGAACGAATATAGACGAAGCTGGTTTTAAATTTTAATTTTCGCTAGTGACGGAGTAGCAGTTACGCATGTTGTCTTGGAGTAGAAATTCTCATTTCTGTCCGTTAGAGCGGATTCGATCGATCCACCGGAACCGAAATATTAGATGAAAATTCCCATGGAATTTTAAAACGCATTACAGTATATATTGCATTTCCGGAATGAATTATCTCTAGGCAGCAAGGTTTGGTAGACCATACAAAATTCGAACCGAAGCCGAATCCAAGAGGATCTTTTAAGACGGTCACCGCGTTTCGATTAGTCTCCAAGCCGAAAATTTCATTTAGTTGGTTCCACAAAGATCTCGAAACGAAAACTGACATTAAATATCGAAAGAAGCGGCAATTCCGGACAGAACGGATAGGAAAAGATCAAGCGCCAAAGGTTATGGCAAACGTTGCCCGATAAGTTCTTCATTTTGAACTACGACCAGTCTCTCGCACCCCACGGTCGATGGCAAAGGTGGATTTTATATCGGGGACGTCTCCTCTACACTCGCCGATGTAAAGTTTCCCGAGAAAAAGAAATTTCGGGTCAAAGCTTCGGTTCGGATGGCAACGGGACCGAAAGCGTCCAGTCGAGTCCTAATCAGAGTTTTGTTCTCCACACTCGGCGATATTTAAACCAATGCGTGCCACATCGTCCTCTGTACCCTACGTTCGAAAGAACTATTTTCGACCGAAATACGTCTTCCCAGAGACTTCCCATTACATCAAAACCGCGAAAAGAAAATACCGACTTGGTGGAAAAGGAGGACGATCCCGAAAACGTGCCAGAGATCGAGGACTTTTGAACAATTCCGGAGCCTCTCGTTTTCGAAAAGGTACGAAAGAAAAAAAAAATACAAATCGTCCGATCGATGGCGTAATTCCTGTCCTAAAAAATGCGAACCGAGTTCTTGTACCGAAACTTATATTGCTCATCCGAAGTCCAACCGACCGCGTTAGACCACGGGAACTGCGGTACACCTTTCGAATGACTATTTAATTCTTACACTTTTCTCCGAGTAAAATAAGTTGATTCTAATCGAGTTTACCGGTAATTTAATTCGTAACGGAGTGGCAATTGCCACTTACTAACCAGCAATTATTTATTGTGACATGGTCACGATGCCGGGCTGCAATTTTTAATCATGTTTTAATTTATTTAATTTGAAATATATTCTCTCCGGCTCAAATAAAAAGTGATTTGCCCCCGTAGATCATACTTTTCCTTTAACAATACAGTTGTGCCGGTCTTTTATTAGCTGCTTTCGGGGGAGGAAGTTTTCAATTGATATAACGTGAATTCTGGTGCCTACCGGTTGTACTGTAGTGCATATATAGTTAATAGGGGCCTCCTGCTCCTATTCTTTTCACCTCTCGTTTCTTCTTTTATCTATCTAACTTGGTTCTCTAGCTTAAGGAGGGATAGACGGACGGACGACAGTGGGAATTTATAGGTTTACAGTTTTTAAATGAAACCGTTCCGGCATCTTTTATATTTAACAAACGTGATTTTTGTGCTAGTTTTAATTATTGTAGCGTCACTCAAATCGACTGCACCACGTCTCTTGGCCCGGTGGGTATAATGTTAAATTCGTTACAGGTTAACATTTAGAAAATTGATATTTCATATACTTTTTGTTGGTCTTTATTACGATTCTTGTATTTTGTGCACTCGAGCGTTATTAAGTTTCTGGTGTTTAACCATTACAAATTTATATTCGATACACAATAAACAATACAATAGTTATCTTTGATCGATTACAATAATACAAGATAATGAATAAAAAATATAAAACAATGGAGACGAATCGCTGCTTCGTGTTCTTTTAGACGTGTCTCGAGCAAGTGAAATCATATGTTCCTCCAACATATGATTTCACTTGCAAACAATCACATGATACTTTGTAAACCACTCCTGCGACATCAAGCTGATTTTTTACTATATTTAGACTTCTCGTATTTATAATATTAATAATATTCGACATTTTGTTTTCTTGCTTGGCAACTACACATATAGAAAACTTTTTAAATATGAGTTTATATCGTTCGTAAAGATTATAAATATAAGGCATTTTTACCTAAGTATTATTATTTATACGATTTTTTACATTATATCTGTAATTTATAAAGGAATTACGTATACCACTTACAAATTTTGCTCTTTGGATAGTCATTCAATAAATATTTTCAAAATAATTGTTTAATTTCTTTATTTATATCTTTCTGAAGTGATGTTCTGTTTAGTATTTTCCTCAATTCCATAGTCAAAACATTTCTCTTAGTGTCTATAGGGCAATAAGATTTATAACTAATTGTTTTTTTCTGTATTACATAATTTTTCGTACTTACGAAACACCAGTTGCATTTTCTCACGTTTAATAGTCACATCCAAATAGTTTATTTCCTCATTCTGTTCTAATTCACTAGTAAACTTTATATTAGTTTTTAATTTATTCGCATAATCTTCAATTTCACGAGGTGTCACTATACAGTACATGAATCAAAAATAATTAATATATCGTCCACATAACGAGCATGAAATTCTATACCTGGAACTTGTGATATATTTTCATCAATTGATTTCATACAAATCTCAGCTAATTTAGGTCCAACAACTGATCCCATTGATATTCCATTTTTTTGGCGAAAAAAATGTATAATCCACTGATGAGGCTGTAACGGAAAATTTCACCGATTTCATTGTTTTATATTTTTTATTGATCAACAATTATAGTACTTTATTAAATACAAGATAATGTTTACTTTAATTTTTATACGCCGTATTTTCAACCAACACTTCAGATTTGACAAAGATTGCTTAAGAAAAAATATAAAATTTTTTAAAAACCAAGTGTGAAATTCTAACCACGATCTCGGCATACATTTTTACGCGTGGCTTTAATTATTAATCGATACCTATTTGTCGCCACGAACGAATGTTTTAGTGACGGCAGACGGAGGTAAAAAACGAAATACCCAGTTAGATAGATTGTTACATTCTGGAAAACGAAGTAGACTAAGCGTCGAGTGGTGTGTTCCAGAAATAAAACTATATTATCACCAAAACTAAACACGCCACAAAAGTTATCGCAATCGTCCATCCACAGGTGGCCCAAAAGCGAATTTCGCTACCGGTGATTTAATCGCCGTTAGCGAAAAGTCAGCGGTAACGCTAATGACATACTGGTAATATTTCACCATTATGGGTTCGACCAGACCCACCAATAATCGGCTCCTTTAGCCGCTTTTGCTTGGAAGGAATGAGATGCGTAGAAGATTAATAAAAAGCAGTCTTAAAGGTTATTATCTGTTAGTAAAAACAACGTTCATTTTATAGGCTTTTGTGATCATAAGTGTCACCGAGATGGATACCGCCGGAGGTAAGAAAGAACATCCACTCGCTGGAAATGAGAGCGAGATAAGAATTCATAAAAATGCGTGAAAACCATACTTTTAACTCTCTTAACGAGAAGATGAAGGACTTCGTACTAAGAACGTGAACGTCCAATTGTGTTAATTAGCCAATAACTATTTGTAACCTGTAGTTTAAGGCAGTTTTTGACAGGAAAAGTATTTCCTGTGCTTATAAAAATGGAAAATCAAACTCGAATGCTTTCTTCTTTTCTTTTAGCAAATTTATCAATATGAAACAAAGACGATGTAGTACATATTATCTATTTTGGTAGAAGAGGAAATTAATTGTCCGAGACGATTTTTTAACCACTCTTTCGGTATTAATTAACGGGGGTGGATTTTGTATTGATTTTTTAGAATGGAAATTGTCAATAAATTGTTTATTATGTTTTTAATTTAAAAAATTACTTTTCCAGCAAAAGGCTGTTTTTGCCCTGTCCAGCATCTCGATTGAATCATTTTCTTACCATTTCTTTAGATTTCAAATCGACATTCTTCTTGTTTATTAACAGACAGTTTACTTGGATTGTAAAAGTTGAATATGACGAGACTTTCCTCCGCTTCTCTGTTTTAGTATACGAAGATGATAGTTTTAGTATTCCGTTGTTTGAAGTCGTTTAGAACGTGATATTTAATTTCTAGTGTTTAGAAATTCGGTTAGCGATCGGATCGCAAACCGAAGTGAGACGGGAATAAAAAGATATAGTTACTTATTTCGGAGGAATAATTTAATTTCTATTTTCAGGAATGGATAACGGAGACGGGTCCGTCGAGTACGCCTCGTTATTACCTCTTAATTCGCATTCGGACAGCGACTCCAACTTCGGTTTGTCGTCCGATCCTTTATCCGGATTCTCCGACAGATTTTTCGCTCCGGTTCCTCCTCTGGAAGAGGGTCATTTTCGCCTGGAAGACGAGGACCCCGATCGACCGTCCAAACCCAACGATCCCTTCGCGCCCCAGTGCAAAATTCCCATCCCCAGCGGACTGGATTCGTGCGAGTACTGGTTAGAGCCTACGTTTATTCGAAGGAGAAACGAGAGAGAGAGGCAGAGGGTGAGGAACGTCAACGACGGTTTCGAGAGGCTGAAGAACCACCTACCTCTAGAAGAGTCGGAAAGGGAAAGAAGAATGAGCAAAGTGGAGACTCTGAGATTAGCTATAGCCTACATTCGTCAGCTGGAAGACATGCTGAAGGAGAATCGACCGCGATCGGACAACGCGGACGGATGAAATGTTTTCCCGAATGGAGTCCATTCTTTAACTATTTTAAGCACTCTCTGGAGGACAACATCGACACGAGAAATTCCGGTCGTCCGGAGAAACGCAGGGGGAGAAAAGTTCCGAAAAACACGCACATCGGTTGCACCTGTCATTACTTTTATGCGAAAAATAAAAGTTAGGTGGTTTGCGGAAATTGTCGGTGTCATTCGCCGTGTCTAATGTTTTTCTGGCGTTGGCGGTTCATTCGGAATGACAAACGATCTCGCGAGGACGGAAGACAAGGCTCGACGTTTTCTCTTTTCTTTGACAATTAAAATGACTCCGAAAATTCCAGTTTACTAACAAATATCGATTTTCGCGAAAAAATTTGATTTTTTTTTTCCCACCATAAGTACCTGGTAAATAAACTTCGAATTTATCTTTATACATCATTTACACAATTTTTTTTCTGTTTTTTTTTTGAAAGAAGGACTTGCTGCGGATCTTTTATTTAGTTTAAATTTACTATCTGGCATCTAGATTCGAATCCGGGAAGATTTCGGAGATTATTCTTAATGAAATCGTTCAATTTTACTGACGAATCCTTCATAGAATTCCACCCATAAGAAGCAAATTGGAGTCGAGCCATACAGTTCCACGAAACAGAAAATATCCAAAAAACACCAATCAATGGTCGCGGATTGGCGCTTAACTAATGGTTAACGAAGGAATTTCCTATTTATTCTGTTTGTATTATTTTTAGATGAAATCTAAAAATAATACAAACAGAATAAATAGGAAATTCAGTATCACGATGAAACTAATTTATATTATACTGTTCTCGGAATTCGCGATAAATAAACGTTCGAAAAAACGTTCCTGGCGCGACGTCAGCAATTTTTTTCATTGACTAAATCGGTAGAAATTTCTATTACCACAAGATTTCGGGTTCATCAATTAATTTTTAATTAATAAACGTATAAAAGTATGTGTCTTTATAAATTGTTTCCGTATAAAGAAAGTTGGCATATTATCTCACTCGAATGTTTCTAGTCAGATACAATGAAAGTGGCGCAGTTAGGATTAAATTTTGGGGGAAGCCGAATTGAACGAATAAAGAAACTTTTATTGTGAATTCAATAAAATTTTTACCTTTGTAACCGTTAATTCTTAAGTACTTTAAAAATAGAAGACACGACACAATATAAACGAACAAATTCATTATAATTAAGAAAAGATGTTTGGAAAATTATTTACCCTTTGTTGTTCTTTTTTCTTTGGAGAGTGCCAAGGCCCCTTGGATCCTCTCTGGGTGTGCCACTGTACAAAGTTATCTGTATATTTCCGGTTGATACACGTATTTCGCAGTTATTAATTAATTATATTTAATTAAAATAATTATATATATATATATAATTATAATATAACTAATAATCACTAGAAGGAGTGTGATTTGTAACGTTTATTACAGTTATATTTTCTTTTTGCTATTTTCCACATATCTCACATATCTTGCACTAAAAATATAACGCCACTACAGAGTCGGTGCGAGAATATATGGTCCCCAAGCAAAGAAAATTTAGATGCCCTATACATTGTCTATATATATATATATATATTATCATACTCACAAAATCATAGATACCTCACACATGTGACTACAGTATTTATAAATAAATATCGTTATGAACATTAAAATTTTTTAAAATTAATTAACATTAATACACAGTATTTCTATACACACTCCCTTCCAAAAAGTAAACAGCACGTGCAAATTCTCAGATAAAAAACGTTTATTGGACGGAATTTGTTGTATACTTTTAGTGTGATATGAAAACATCGAAACGTGGGTAAAGTACACAAATCAATCTGTGGGTAAAAACGAGTGTTTCATTCTGTGCTTTACATAAAGGCATAATTTCTGTACTGAACCCATAATGGGGTTGCTAAAAGAAGCCATCTTACTGCCCACCGGGCGGTAAAAGTTTAAAAAAAAAACTTCAATTACGGACGTGACAGTGAAATTCCAAAATAGCCAGTTCCCAAAGAAGACATCTAAGTTATGGTCAAAGATGATGATGGTAGGTTAGAATCCGATCAATCTATTGGATAATCTGCTCAATTCTTCACAGTTAGCCATTCTGCGATTTCACCATTGTGGACCCAATTCCAAATCACTGGAACAGTGAGCAGAAGGCCAGGTTTAGGTCGATCTCCAGTTACATCTTCCAATGGTTGCTACTTATTGATCAGATACAATAGACGGGCAACAACACTTGTTTCACGTTCAAACCTTATAGCAGCTACAGAGAGGCCTGAATCTTAGTTTACCCTCTTTAAAGCTTAATAAGTCCTGTGTTTTTTGTCGAAATTTTCTGAAATTTTGCAGGATGGTTTGTTTATTACGGGGATTGATATAATTAAATTTTGATGGTTAAAGGTCCGGAATGGAGGTCGTGTGTCATATCTCCAGTACGATCGGACTTAATGACGATTTTACTCGTTATTAGCATTTACAATTTTATAACAACCGTTCCTAACCTCAAAATTAAGATTTTTGCGATTTTATAATATTAAAAATTTTCTATAGTTTCAATTAAGAAAATATCGTAACAGATGGCGCCATACACGGTTTTAAATGTTGCCTGGAAAGTTAAGCGGCTGCTTGCTGAATTTTTTATTTTTGTATGCTAATAATAGGCATAGTCTTATTCTATGTTATTATATATAATTTGAAATAAATTGTTGCAATAGTTGTTTTGTGTCTAAATTTCAATTTCGTGCTTATTTTTTGGAGGGGAGTGTATATGATAACGTATTTTCTGAAATTAGTCATACTTAATATTTGGAATTCACTTAAATTCAAAATAAAATACAAAATATATTTATTAATAATATTTAAATAATATTTATTTAACATGAAATTAAACACTAGTTTTGCTATAATTTAAAAATCAAAAAGATTAAACGATCTATCATTTCTTTGTTTGTAAGCCTGGAGCCCCTAGGCGATTGCCTAGATTCGCATAATGGTAAAACTCCTCTGCGCTTCTGGGCCCACAATATTCGGGCGCATCCAAACTAATAGCGCTACGTTCGCACCGAATGATTCTAATTTCCCAAAGGAAAAACCGCCACTAACTACGATCAACATTACCAACTCTCAATATCACAAAACTGCATCCTGCGGTTTTGTGATATTGAGTTATTAATAGTAATGTTCGAACAAACAGGGTTTAACTTATTGTTTCGAATCTCTATTCTTACAACTTAAACAGTGGAGAGGAAGACACGAAGATTACAATAAAAAGATAATAATATTAATAGGATTCTTTTTTCTTCAGATAAATGAAGGTAAAAATAAAATCTTCTTATAAAATGTTATACGAATTCTTGTTGTAAAGGTTAGGAATCTAGGAAAAATGCAGTGTTGAGTATTGCGTCCTCTACTCCATGTTTGCTTGTCTGCCGATTTCACAACATATCGTGGTTGGCGGGAGTTCAAAGAAGTAGCGAATACATGGAATAGGCGTAATTCCTTTCAGAAACCATGTCAGATGGCTCTACTAAAATGGTTTCAGTTTCATAAAAATATTAGCACTGAATATATATGCTGTACTGAAATCTTTATTATCGAACACAGATATATATTCGTAAATTTTTATTGCCCCAAAAATAGCGATGTGCAGGATTACCTCTTTAATCTACAATGTATAATGGACCACTTTCATAACACCTATTTTGTTTTGGCTGGAGACACTAATGCACACTCTCCTTGCTGGGGGGGCGAGTGTCTTGATCGACGTGGAAGATGCTNCGCGTGTGCAACTATATATATATATATATTGTACACGCGATTTAATTATTACTTCTGTGTTATCTACTGTAAATCTTCAATGTTATCATTATTGTAACCTTGATTTACCCGGTAATGCTCTGTGGCACTGGGGATGTGTCTACGGACATATTACTATTAAATATATCTGTATCTGTTTCCTTTATTGTAGCTATCGATACACATAGAGACTGAAATAAATTAAGTAATTATGCAACAAGATATATATATTCTCTATAATTATGAGGTGACTGAGGTAAAACTTGATCGCCTAAGTGTTTGACGATCAATATCAAAACGATCTACGCATTCTGTGTGCACATTTCAGTAGTATATCACTTTCACTTTCATTCTAAATCAGAAATTTGGCCAAGAACGCTTGGATTCCCAGCACATAAGAAATAAAATGTGAAAAATTTCGACCAAGTATGCGATAAAGCTGGCCGCCTCAGCTAGTACGAAGAATTGAATCATTTAGAAACTAGAACAATTTCTAATCACTTAAGATCATTCTATATTTCACAAAACAAGATCATTCTTTGTCCAAAGTAACTTGCACTTAATCCGAAAGAAAATGAATTTGTGGAATATGGGCATTAGGTCTAATATCCTGGGTTAACTATTACAAGAATCTTTTCTTTCGAACAAAAACAAATTGGTAAATGACAATGAAATCGCGGAGTGACATGTAATGTAAGGTTTTGTTTTGTAGATAAAAGATAAAGGGGGTCATATTTAAGTTATTACGGACAGTCCTAGACACGAAATTTTCTTGAAATCTGCCTGTCTTTTCAGTACGGCTTTCGCGATTTCATATACTCTGTTAAACCTAAACCTAACCAGGTGATGTTTGCCCTAAAGTGTACGGTTAGGTCAATCTGAATCTCTCAACCAACTTAATATTCGAGTCTCATAAATATACATAGAATTTGAGAGTGAAATGATGTTTATTCTAGTTCCGGGAGCATTAAATAACCCAAATTACATAATGACAAAGTCTCACCTCACTATTGGAGCTTTACTATCTGGTTTTCGGCTTATTGAAAACGGTTTCTGCCTTAGCAAAATCATACTTTTTCTGTGTGGTGTCCAGATTTAGTGCGAAATATTTGCATGTAATTTATTGGCACCCGTTAAACGAAGCGTTATTAGTAGAGCTTTAGGGACGTAATAGACTGTGCATACTCACGCATTAACTTTATAAGCATGCATTTTACGAAAGTCTGTTAACCTTAGGTGACCGGGTTTATACAATAACGTTTAAGGTGGCAGCCTACCAGGGATCGAATCCGGACTGGGTAAAAATATCCCCAGGAATTTTTCGGGGTGTCTTCTGTCCGGATATATAGGGCCCCATCCCTCACCACACGGCCGCCCCATTGTGAACTCGGTCGAACCCATAATGGGATTGCTATAAGAGGCCCTCTTAGTGCCCACAGGGCATAAAGAGTTTTTTAAAAAAAGTACTTTTAATTGCAATAATAGCTTTAGTGTTCAATATTTTAATAAGTCTTATAAATAATATTTTTAATCAACCGATATAAATTGATATTTTTAATGATGAAATAACATTTTACTAGGGTAAAGCTGATATTTTATTTTCTCGGAAACTATAAATGTACTTTGTTTTCCTTTAAAAAAAAGTAAATAATATATTAACATAAACAACATTTATATTACATTTAATTGTGAAAGGTTCAGCTGCAATCTTCAATTAATTTTTATTATTGCAGGCGAATGTCACGCAACTCATCGGTATTTTAAGAGCAATATGATCAAAAACTTTCGATAGCACGTACGGACAAATTTTATCAGAGAGAACTGCCACTCTACTAATTCTTCTTTACGTCCAGCACAAACCGCGTGACAAACTAACGGAGTTTCAGAGATAGTTTATAGTTCTTCATCAGATTTAAATTTAAATCCGAAGTATGAAAATGTTTAGGACGTTCGAATTAAATCAAATAAGAGAATGCATTGCAGCACAACTGACAAATCTAATAATAATAAAACAAGAAATAAAAGTAAATAAATAATAAATAAAAAATACATACTGACAAAATAACACTCAATCAAACTAAAAATAAATTTATAAACACCTTTTTGACTGCTGGGATTCGCTTTTATTTCGCAAACGTTTTCAACCTAGTCTAATAGGCCATCCTCCTGCTACATTTTTCTTGAAACATGTTTTCCGATAAATTGTCTTATCCAATACCCAATCTAACGTCTAGGTCTATCACTACAAGTCTTACAATAAGATTATTAAGCATAGCATAGGTCTATTTATGCCTCTTAACAAAATCTTCCACGCGCTGAAAATTGATACTGCATTCAGCCTATTGATGGTTGTATGTGATCTTCTATATTTCAAGCACTTCAGAAAATTTCGCCAATTACTTCTTTCTAACGGGATTCAGATTTTTTCCCATTCCACAACATTATCAACTTCCAAAGCAAAGGCCAATAGTACCATCGTAGCCGTTTTAGTGCGCATACCATATTTAGGTACTTTTATTTTTGTTTCAAGCTGTATCTGACATCTAACATATTTCGTGCCAATGTTGTCCCTGGCAGGAATCTGATAGACACTCGGCATACGGTGTTCCCAAGGTGTTCATCGTTCTTTAGCATTCCGTAATAAATGTATAAACAGAGGAGTTTCTACGGCAGCCAGATGAAATTGTCTTTCTTTGGCAACATGCTGATAAATGCCACGCACGTTTTTATCATATTCCACTCAGTAAGGCCTAGTTGTTGTACGCGTTCTATCCTTGGACCTACCGAATTTTTATCGAAAAGATTTTCAATAAGGTTATCTAAGTAACCATGCCCTTTTAAACGATCCTTAATACTCGAGCAATGTGAATACGCTCGTGTTACGAATATATTTCGTGCGATTTAACATTCGTACGAAATATGTTGGATACACGTCTCCAGACAAGAATAAAAGAGCATATTTACACCCTATAATATAAAACTAGTAGCTAATAAAAAGTCACCGGTAGTGTTAAACAGAAAATTTTATTAAAAGTTCTTGTTTAACGTTTCCGGTGACTTTCTTAAGGATGAACATAAATACCGAAAGAGAGGGTTTTCCATTTTTATTAATAATACGAAGAGAAACTATTTCAGAAAGTAAGCGTAACAATAATGCACGAAAGTAACCGCCGTATAAAAAGCACCAAATTTTCATCTCATAGACCAGAGAGATTGGTAATCTCTGGTCACTAGCGACCCGAGGGTCAATCGATTTTTCTAGAGATCGATAAATTACTGGGTTTGGAGATCGGCGAACAAACTTTCTTTTATTATATGTAAAATGTAATAAAAATCACATAACAATAAATGGTGAATATTTAAATTTTAGTAAAGTAAATACTATGTTTTGAATTTTAGTTGATATTCAATATAATATATATATATATATATATTATGATTTTTTATTCGATTCTCTATTTTATCCGTTTTTTAATGTACTTTTATTTCTATCGGTAGAAAAGGATAGGTGAATTAAATCTCATTTTGTAAACGAGTCCACAAGAGAGTCAAATTGGGAACCTCCGTCTCTAAGACTTGGAGCGCGTTTGGAAATTGTAACCGGTGTTACCGGTAACACCGATTACAATTTCCGGTGCAAAATCCAATTTGAGACGAAGTAACGTTTGTATTTGCGTGATAAACTTGTTTATACTTTTGGAAGCGTTAATAAGAAATGTTTACGTAAATTATCGTTATTGTATTTAAGCTTGAAATTATTGGCCTGCAATCCGTAATAAGTTTTATTATTTGTCTAAATACGTAGGCACTTTAAAGGCTTTCCGTCAATTTCTAATAATAATTACTCAATCGACATTAATTAATTAAAGGACTTTCAAAGCTCGAGGTAATCGAACGTTTCCGGTTCCGAAGGGACGACACGTGATTTTTCGTAGTTGCGAAACCGATTTTATTCGAAATGTAAGTAAAAATTACGTTTCAAAAATTCCGAAAACGAAGAATTTCCCGAAATCTAATTGCTATTCGAGTTTGAAGTTTCGACCCATTCCGGAAAAAAACAAACAATTCGAACGGAGGACGACGGTAGAGGGCGTATCGATACCGATAACATGGCGTCGAGAAGCCAAAGTGGGAGTGTGTCGTCTCGTCGGTTGCGTTTCGTAATTTGTTTGGCATAAGTGTCGGGCAACTTTTATCTTCGTCGTCTTTCTTAACACTTGGAAGCGACCGTCGGCCATTTGGCCATTTCGGACGCCTGTTTAGTTGGCCAGTCGATCGAACGATCAAATGTCAAATTCGACCTTGGCAGTCAGATGATCGGATCGCTTCCCGTCCGCAAGTACCCATGGATAAGGAATCCTCCTCTTCTCTCTCTTCTCGTCCCAAGGCGCAGCTAGATCGGGACCTTTCTCGGTCCACTATGGACAAAAATAGCCGTTCGCTCGACGATCCGCTTTCCGAGCCCACCGACGATGCGGAGGACCCAACTTCCGACGTCTCCGCATCCCGAGAAGTTTCCGAAAACTCGGAACGGACTTGGGAAGAAGAAAAGGACCGAGGCGAGATGAAGCTCGATCTGGAAAGAACCGACGATGTTTCCTGCGTGGCGGAAAGATGGGGAGACGCCGTTCTCGACTTGAATAATTGCGTCACACCGCTCTCTCCGGACCAGAGGTAAGTCGGTGTCGCTAAATATATTTATGAAGGTCGTCGAATCGAAACCCATCTTTTTCGTTTCGTTTAGTAATCTCACTGCCGAAAACACCTGCGTTCTGACCAGTGGGAGTCCCGCCATGATGTCCTGCGAGCTGAAGGTGGACGCTGTGGATCCCAGGCGGGCCCGAACCGTCTCGGTGGCCGAGGTGAAGGAGTTGGCCTACGGACGACTCCGGGAGGAGTTGTGCAAGGCCCAGCAGGTACGTGGCCTGCGGTTCTGCCGCTTCCGGGCTTCGTTTTGTGGTCGGTTTCCTGGCGGAGGCTAAAGGAAGCCTTGGCGGGGGCCCCGGAAATTTGTTTCGGACCTTTGGATATGAGACGTCTTGTTTTAAAAGCAGTGCATCACCACGATATTCCCTTTACCTACCGCCTGTGGCGTAAGAAATGGGAACGACCGATTTGGCCGAGATGTTCTCTCAAAATGAGTAAATTCACTTTTTGAGGCCAGAACTTTTAATTGAGAACCTAACCACAAAATTACCAATATACCAGCAAAATTCAATTTTGCTGGTATATTGGTAATTTTGTGGTTAGGTTCTTAATTCTCACACCAGTATGATGAATGAACTTTTAATTAGATCTTGTTTCTTCCGGAGGCCGTCAACGTCTTCGGAAGTTGCAATTTCTGTGGTGCAAAAAGTGACCGAAAGCCACGTTACTCTGCTGGCAGAGTTGAGCGAGATACAGTCCCTTAAACTTGTTGCCCACGGTTCCGAAATGCTCGTGAAACTTTGCAAGATAATTGCATGGTTTCAAAAAACGGTGTTTGAAGTCTGATGTTTTATTTGTTATGAGTGACGACAAAAATGCTTATTGCATGCTAAACGTATTACCTAGGCATGGAATTTGGTCATAAAAAAATTGTTGGCAAACTTGACATATTTAAAAGGTTGATATTGCCACATAATATCTTTTCACTTAGGATTGTACACCTCAACACACTTCAATTACATACTCCAACAATAAATTTCTAGATGGCATCTGTCGGAGAACAATTTTGAATATTCTAAAAAGGTGTAAAAAATTCCAGAAACTTTTGCCGACCTAATGTTTTAAGTATTTAGATGATATTGTCACATGTGCTCTAATATGACTATATGTTTAAATATTTAAATTACAAGATTGACTGAGCATGTATATATTATATTAGCTGTACCCGGCCACCCGTTGCTGTGGCTCAAAATGTAGCTATTATAAATGTATAACATTCCTCATTAGAGGGAATTTTGAAAAATCCCTTCTTATTGTGCATATGCTCTAGTATGCTTCTCTTGACGTACCCTATTAAAATGCAATCAAAAATGCATTTTAATAGGGCAAAAATGCAAAAAAACCGCATCTAAAATAGTATAATAGAAGCCAAGTTCTTCACAGTAAGCCTTTTGTCCCTCTCCCCGGAGGGGAATTTTGACATCTATATACTATACAAGTTTCGACACATGCACTGCGTATCTCACCAACCATGTGACTGCGCTGCGCAGTTACCTATCTCGTATATGTATGCGTCTTGCCCCTTGCCACCCGCTGACACCAAAAATATAACACTTACCTAGATGATATCTTTTAATTTATATGAATGTTTAACAGAATAATATACAGCCTATGTCCACCCTGAAAGTCCATTCTAAATATTGGTGAAAGAATTTTTGAAATCAGATGAGTAGTTTCGGAGATTACCTCCTATATCCAAACTTACAAACTTTACCTCTTTATACTATTAGTATAGATGTTCTTTTTAGTCTAAATATATGAATTTAAATAGATAAATTATAAGGGCTGTACTTAACTGCACCATCCAGGATGAATATATAAAAAGGGAACAAATCACAATAACCAAGTAACCAGAGTGCAAAAGATCAATATTTGCTAACGTTTTATCCTTACCACCCCACACCCAGAACATCTAAAATGGTTGGAGCCGATTGAAATTTTTAAGGCAGGATGCAGGACCACCTGCATTAATTTTAAAGAGATGATCCTTTTGATGGTGTGGCAGGTCATACTAGACAATAATAATTAATTTGCAATCATATTGAAAGTGGAACACATGTGTTTGAACTCATTGTATTGTTCAATATTATTTAAACATCTTGGAATGCATGCATGTATCGTATCCCAAATCAAATACTATTCAATAGATATTCAAAGGTTAATGGCCTGCTTGTTTGAATAGATAAAAAAAGAAGCCCAAGGAAGAGCCCAGAAGGGGCATTGAAAATGTTTGCAAATATTGATATTTTTCACTCTGGTTAATGGGAGCAGCTCACAATTTGTTATTGTGAGCTGCTCCCATTTTATATAAGGGTTGTCTGAAACAACTTAGAAAAATCTGCACCTCTTTTAATTTCTAATCTTTTTCTTTATATAATGATGTTTTTGGTTGGATAGTTCTCCCCATGATGATTTTTTGTTATTATGTTATATGTTTATATTTGGATATTTGGCTTTCAGATATTTATTTTTGATGTTTTTTGATGTTTATAATAATACTTGTATAATTTTTGTTTTGATTTATGTATATGTTAATTTTCTCTGTANTGTTTATATTTGGATATTTGGCTTTCAGATATTTATTTTTGATGTTTTTTGATGTTTATAATAATACTTGTATAATTTTTGTTTTGATTTATGTATATGTTAATTTTCTCTGTAATAATGGATGGATTATGATATTTTTTGTAATGTACATGTAACGAATTATTGTATACCCCGCATCATGGGCTCTGCCTAGTATGTCTAAATAAATAAATAAAAATTAATTTCTAATCTTAACGATAAGGAATGTAAAGAAAGTAGGGTAAGGTTGAATGTCAATTGTTTGAAAAATCAATCTGGAATTAGTCTTCACTGAAGTCAATTTGAATTGATTTCAGTGGGTATTAATTCTAGAAATTATTAGTTTTTACATAACGATTGTCAGTGATTGTCTGATGGAGCCGACAATCACTGGCAATCTCCTTTAGGAAGGAGCCAACAATAGCTAGTCGGCTCCTATCTCCCAGACAAGATAATTATTTGACTCCCCTTTTAAATATAGTCATAGTGTAATTTTAATTGGAAGATCTGAGGGCTCAGACCTCACACATTTAAATACTTAATTGATTATTTTACTTTTTGAAAATAATTATCTGAAATTAAGAATGCTTTTTATATTTATTTTCCCCTAGCAATCTACCTCCCCAGGCAGCCACACCTTTGTATCTGTCCCTGTCCATAGACTTGTCTGTCTAGCTGTTAAGTAGTATTAAGATTCGTGCTTGCGTTCAGTTTTATTATTAGTATTAAGTAGATAAAAGTCTTCCTACTAACAGCCACTTGGCACTAACTTTAACACTAACTTCAACACTTCAACACATTCATGGCAGCACTCAATCATTGATGTTTGCTACATTCAGGTTTTCTTTTAGACCTTCCGGGGGCTACAGCCTTGCAGCCTTAAAACTACATGCCAACACCAAACATAGATGGTACTGTAGCCATACATATCCTGTTCAGAGGGATCCTACTTTTTTCTACTAGCTTCTCTCCTTCCTTCTTCCCCTCCCCTTTCCCTTATCCTCTTTTCTGCCAGCTAAACCTCTCCTTTAAGGCCGAAATCTTTCTTGTATGTGTAGCTAACTTGTTGACACTAGTGTTTGTTTTTTTATTAATTACAAATAGAAAAGCAATCATGAAAGTCTATCAAGAAAAGCATGATTAATAGTCACAGGCTTTTAATGCATCAGCACAGTAAAGCATTTGATATATAAAAAAACAACATTGTCACAGAAATCTAACCCAACAAGGATTTTTCAACACTCATAATGATTGAGCAAAGTCAGAGATTTATACTTCTATGCATTTGGAACTAGAACTATTTAAAATGACTAAGACAAAACCTTTCTCACTTTGTTTCTAGTTGTTTAAACACTGATTACAAACGCTTTCGGCCTTCTTAATAGGCCTTCTTCAGGTACATTAATTATTTATTACTATTCTATGAAGAACAATAATAAATAATTTTTATGTTAGTACTGTATTTTATTTAATATTAATTTTACTTTATACATTTTTACTTTGAATTCAAAGTTTTGTCTGTATGTTGTAGATTGCAATGAAAGACTAGTGCTTATTAAATTATGCATTTTTTTTCCTATTTTTTATTATTTGTATGTATTAAATTTCTACACCTCAACTTTGTTTTACTATTGTACTACAATTAAAATTAATATTTTTGTAAAAGTGTTTATCTTTTTATTCTTTCTCTGTTGAGTGTGATTGGCTAACCAAAATTGTCCCATCCCTATTAGTATCCTGAAAAATATTTAATTCTGAAATGAAAACCAATCTGTTGGACTACTTAAAAACTTGTTTTAGTATTATGAGATTAGTCAGTGAAGAAAGTTCTTATCTTTTTGAAGATGCTTGCTGTCTTAGTAAAGTCACACAATGAAATGAGACACAGCAGAGGTTTATATCACAGGGAAGCACCCCAGGTCTAGATCAATAAATTTGCTGCTTATATAAATCCACTAAGATATCAACACTGCAACTTTTGTATTTATTAGGAGAGTAGCCAGTAAGAGAAGCACTTGAAATAATTGCATCACTACAACCAGTCCAAAGATTGAAACATCCAAAGAAGTTGAGAATCATTTTTTTTTTTTTGTATTCTCCATAACATAGTTCCAGATTCAAGTCACTGACAGTGAGATGAGGTTTAAGACACTGATAATAGAAGAGATGTTGCGGTTGACATTTTCATCACGAAAATGTGTACATTGGATGTTCAGCACCGCCTTCCTGTAAACCTAGAAGTTTGACAATGGTTTTTGGAACGTCAGTGGAATCCTGCTCGACATATCAAATGCCATTGTCAAACTTCTAAGTTTACGGGAAGGCTGCGCTGAATGTTCGACGTACACGTTTTTGCNGCGCTACAGACGGCGGGAAAGTAGTTCGGCTGCCCGATGACGTTTTACGTATTATAGGAGTTATTTTTACCGTTGTTTACGGATACTGCCACAATTTTTATAGGAATCATAACTATAGGAAACGGTTTTATAAGGGGATCTATTGTATATGTATGCATTTTTTGATGGATTCTGGAAATATTGTGATTGGCAGATGGGTATGCATACCATGAAGAATTTTCACATTTTTAAAGACATTCTTGATATGTTTATATAAGGAAAAACTGCTGGATATATCTGTGATTGTAATTTAAAATTAAGTGACAGCTCACATTGCTGTGTAGCCTGCATTTGTTTTTAAATTGACTTTAAATACAAATAACCTATGAGTTATTTGCAGGAAATTACAACAGTCAAAAGATCAGACATTCCTTTCATACTATTTCATTGCAAATAAGGAATCATATATATTGTAGAAAACAATATTATATGACATTAATTTTATAGTTAAAATGTTTAATTTATAATAAAGATTTAGAAAATAAAGGTTTTCTATACTACTATGGAATCCTGCTCGACATATCAAATGCCATTGTCAAACTTCTAAGTTTACGGGAAGGCTGCGCTGAATGTTCGACGTACACGTTTTTGCGAAGAAAATGTTGGCCACAACCTCTCTAGTGACTTAAACCTTCTTTCAGCTGTTTACTTAATGCACATGTACATGAAATTTAATGGGATAAATAGGGGGGAGGACAGGGATTTTTGCAATGAATTTTTAATGTTACATGAATTAAGCAATAATAATAATCTGTACATGTGATAGTAGAGAAGTTGTGGCTGAAGTTTTCAATGTATAAAAATGTGTATGTTGGATGTTCGGCACCACCTTCCTGTAAGCCTAGAAGTTTGACAATGGCATTTGGAATGTCAGTGGAATCATGCTCGATGTTCCAAACGCTGGCTGCAACCTCTCTAATGACAACAGCAACAACCTCTAAAAATATATTCCATTTAGAATTAAGAAAATTTAGATAATGATGAAATTTGAATAAATTATCAATTAAACCAGGGGTCCCCAACTTTAATAGTAATAATAATAAATTAGTTGAGCTAGTATGAATGAATCTAGAATCTGAATCATTGTTTATGTAGAAAAGATTACTTGCAATGTGCAAATTTACTACATTCAGATCTGTCACATGCATAACTCATTGCACTAATAATAATTTTAATGAACTTTTTTCAATTCATCTGACTTTTTACTAAATTTTGACTTCCAAAAATCGCTTATCGATCCCTGGGGACGAATCAACCACTTTGGAGACCGCTGGATTGAAGACAGATTTGGTTTGTTTATGTGAAAAACTGTGCCTACACTTCCCTTTGAAAGTAACAAAAATAACTTCACTCTATTTGTGATAAAAAATTATGAATTGTTCTTATGAATTATTAGTTACAGGATTCAGGCTTTTTGTTTTCTGTGTTGTTGTTGTACTTTTGAATCAGTTCTAATAATAATTTGTTGTAATAAGTAATAATTTTTTTTTGTTTTTCATACTAAAATTTCTAAAATTATTATGCTTGAATAGTCATAGTTACTAAACAAAGCATGTGCTCATTCCTTTGCACTCATCACGTAATTGACAAAACCTTGTGATCTATTTTGACCAATCACATTAATTCTAATAAAATTCTTTAACTTGAGATGAGAATTAGTTCAGCTTGCATCAAATAAACATTTCAGATCGGTTGAACCTCAGATCATGTGAATCTCATTCTGAGACTGTTGGTGAATATGGTCATGAGAATTATAACATAGAGAAGATGAAATTATTGAAAATTTATCAGCTTCCAAAATAAAAGTTTAGTAGGAATGTATAATACTCTCAAAAACATGAATTGACATATATAGGAATTATGAGTGGGCTAAAGGTAATATATACAGTAGATCCCCCTATAAGACGGTAGATACGTTCCGTTCTTTATGAATCAATTTTGTAGGAATCATAGTTTATGGACTACGGCTGTTTGAAAGGTTTTCTTTCATAAAATTAATCGATTCTAGACTAATTCGACTCAACATTTCCAAAATACGTATATTTTTTTGAAAATAATCCGTATAAACTACGTTATAAACAAAAAATTGTAGGATTGCTTACCGAGTGTGTACCGTTCGACTACGCCCGTTGCTAAAGCTTGGTTTCGTCGCGGAACAGCGCATCAAACCGCGGCCGCGATTTCTGATATTATTTTTCTGCGAAAACTTCGTTGACCTTTGGAGACATCCTTAATATAAATAATTTTTATGGCCGTTAAATAAGAAATGTTTCTTTCACAAGAAATGTATAAAATTACAGTACTGGACAGACGATAGGTCGCCTAACTCGCCGTAGCGTGACGCTAGACGGCGAAAAATATATATTTAATTATAATAAAGTTACAATAAATTAAGTTAATATATAATTATATATACAGTACCTAATTTATATATAATTAATATATAATTATATGTACAGTACCTAATTTATATATAATTATATGAACAGACGATACTAAACTCAATTTATCCGCCTAAACGTCTGTAGCGTGGCGCTACAGACGGCGGGAAAGTAGTTCGGCTGCCCGATGACGTTTTACGTATTATAGGAGTTATTTTTACCGTTGTTTACGGATACTGCCACAATTTTTATAGGAATCATAACTATAGGAAACGGTTTTATAAGGGGATCTATTGTATATGTATGCATTTTTTGATGGATTCTGGAAATATTGTGATTGGCAGATGGGTATGCATACCATGAAGAATTTTCACATTTTTAAAGACATTCTTGATATGTTTATATAAGGAAAAACTGCTGGATATATCTGTGATTGTAATTTAAAATTAAGTGACAGCTCACATTGCTGTGTAGCCTGCATTTGTTTTTAAATTGACTTTAAATACAAATAACCTATGAGTTATTTGCAGGAAATTACAACAGTCAAAAGATCAGACATTCCTTTCATACTATTTCATTGCAAATAAGGAATCATATATATTGTAGAAAACAATATTATATGACATTAATTTTATAGTTAAAATGTTTAATTTATAATAAAGATTTAGAAAATAAAGGTTTTCTATACTACTATAAAGTTGTACTACTAAAAAATGAATTGATTAATTTCTTTCTTAGATTTGAAAAAATATATTTTTTAATTATTAAATTTTCATATAAATTGCATAATTTCATTGCTGATGGGCCAAAAAAAGCAAGTAAATGAGGATGTTTGAGCTTAAAAAATTATATGGTGATACTTTTTCTCAATGAAAATTGCATGTGCAGATTGTAGACAGGAAACTATGGTAATTTGATGTTTTGGAGTGACTATGAAAAGTTATTCGTTAAAAATTTTTAATATTATAAATAGGAAAAAATATCTTAATGTACTACTATAATTTATTTTTTATAATAATGAAGAGTTCACATTCTTGAAACATGAAATGAGAATTAAATCATATTTGCTTTTCCATTATTTTTTATAACATATACATAGTAGATGAAAAAATTACTATTGAATGAAGTTATCTTTATTGTAAAAATATATAATTTTTATTTATTAATAGCTTAATGAAAAATTTTTTAATAAAAATATTTGTTTAAATTATATGCAGGAATTAAAACTAAAAGATGAAGAAGTTGCTCGTTTGAGTCAGATAAGAGACGAAGTCGGTGCCGAGTTAGAAGAATTAACAGCTAGTCTTTTTGAAGTAACGTATAGACATTTTACACTTGATTAGAGAAACTAGTTTATTGTATATTCAGAATAAAATTTATTTAATTTAGGAAGCTCACACCATGGTTAGAGAAGCTAATGTAAAACAAGCCAATGCAGAAAAATTACTGAAAGAAGCAAATTTAAAGGTATTTATTATAGAATTTACATATTATAGTTGTAGTCTAATTTTATAATGAATCTCTTTTACAAATATATTAATAAGATCATCTAAAGTTTTTTGACAAACCTAGTAACAAATTTAAAAAACTTAAATAATCGTAATGATGATTATCCTGTCTGTAAGATGTAATTAAAATGTAAGATTCCTTGACATTTCTTAAAATATAGTAACAAAATAAATGTCATACCTGCAATTATTATAATTATTTATTTATTTATTTATGTATTTTATTAATTAATTTCAGAGTAAGCACAGATTAATGCACATTATTTTGCATAATTACGTTTTCTTATTTTTGATGACCACATTATTATGTTTAAATTAATATGCAAATACACACAGAAGTTTTAAAATATTGGTATTAATAAATTAAATCAAAAATCTTTAAAAGGCATTCAAATGAATACTACCTGCTTTATTACAGCTGTTTTCTTTTTGACAAGACTCTATGTCTTGTTTATAAAATCATACTGCCGTTTTATGTTACCAGCATAGAGGTATGAAGGAGTACATGTTGAGAGTTTATATTTGGCACAGAGTATTAGGTGTCCAAATCATTTGTGCATAAAGAAATCCAGACTTGTAGGTAGTCAGGGGACCGAGAACCTAGTCAAAATAAAATCCAAAATGGCAACCCTCTTCTACAAACAGGCAAAACAGGCACCTCACCCCACTGAAGTCAGGTGGGGGAGAGTACCACCACACTCTGATGTTAGGACTGAACACGTAGTTTCTTCTATGTTAAATAAAATTTGTAATCTAATTTTGTAAATTTGGGAATGCTTCAAATATGACATTAAAACTGGGTGTCATTACAAGTAGGTTTTTTAACATTATCTAGTTTAGTAAAATCGTGGGACCGTTTGAAAATTTGATGTTATATTAGGGTTGTCATTACATTGGATGGCATTATAATCGGATCAAACTGTATATTGTTTGTGCAAAATAAAAAAATAATTTCGGATCATACAATAGCCATGATTACTTTTTTCAAAAACGGGAAATTTTTGTTACGCATCAACAAATATTCAACCCGGGCCGACACGCAACAGAGAGAAATTTTAAAATTGGATAGGTTAATTTCATCGAAAATGCATCATGGACAACTTCTTGGTCGTGACCGGCGAAGTTTGAACAATCGTGCCCAAAAGCAGCAATATCAAAGAAGATTGGAGAATGAGAACGAGACCCGTTTTGAGTGTCAAAGTGATTCCGCTTAGTAGTGAGTCTCCAAAACATAGTCTTGTTTCAAATACAGTTTTGCCATTTTACTTGTTTTAAAATAATAGAAAATTATTTATTACATTGAAAGATATTTTTTGAAAGGAAATTGAACAAATTAATAATAATTTTTATAAACCAAATATTTATATAAAAATATTAATGCATTCATCTGGAACTAAAATTGAAAAATATTGATTACAGACTGATTTAGGACATCCAAACTGTAGTTCAGAAATGATGTTGTGCTTCATTTAATTATGATTTCTGGTATATGCTTCTATTTATATTGTAAATAAAAAGAAGCATCAGTTAAAAAAAAACAACTGTGTTTGAGTACTCATGAAAGTTTCAAAGAAAATTTGATTTCAGAATATATTATGTAAAGGCAAGCCTGCAAAAACTTTTCCTATGTAAACAGTTTGGGAGTAAAAAAGGTCAAATGTGTTTTTTGCATTTTTGTCAAATAACTAAATTCTAAGATTATTTATATTCAAGAGGCGCAATTATTTTATTGTGACATCATTATAATGCTGGGCTGTAATTTTTAATCATATTTTTCATTTATTTAATTTAAAATATATGTTCTTCACCTGAAATTAGTAGTCTTATCATTGTACAGTACATCATACTTTTCCTGTTAGCAATAGAGTTGTATCAATCGTGTTTCAGGGGAAAGCTAACTCCTTTGAGGGGAAAATTTTTAAATTGAGATAAAATGACATTCAGTACAAATTGGAAGTTCATAAATAGTTAATAGTTAGGTACTCCCATCCCTAAGCTTTCCATATCCAGTCATAATTTTTATCTATCTAACTCCATTCTTGAGATTAAGGAAGGACAGACAGACAGTTGACAGTACGAATTTATAGGTTTACAGTTTTTTCAAATTGCAGCTCAATAAGATATATACAGGGTTTCTATGCACCCAGAAAGTCAGAGATTTTCATTAGTGTTCAGAAAAAGTCATGGAATGTAAGGGAGTTTGTTAAAAATTGTCAAAAAGTTAGGAAAAGTCAGGAAATTTGCTTTCTTGGCTGCTTTGTTGGTTTTTGCTGACAATATGCTTGACTAAGTGTAGCCATCTGCAGGCAGCAAGAAGTAATGTGGTGCAATATAACTTATGTAAAGGGGTGCAGAATATTTTCAGGACCCAAAATTTAAAATGATAAATAATTTAAATGGTATTATTACTTTTGCTACTTTTCAATTAATGGAATGCCAGCTGATGTGTACAGCAACAGGTAAGATTCAAGCTCTGAATGAGGGATTTCACACCACCCCAGAATTGTTAACCCTTTGTGAGATATTCATCTGCAAAGATCAGTTTTTAACATGTATCAGTATACTGCCTATTCTACATGCTTTGAATGTGGACGTGCAACTTGGTGCTCACTATTTCTCGCACCTTGATGACCAGGTGGGGTGAGCCCCCACACTCCCTAAAACTATATAACATCAAGTACTCCACAGTCAAGTGGACTACTTGAAGCCGGCACAGTCATGTGGGCTAAATTGTTAAACATGATAGTCTTTTGCAGTTGTCTTCTGGCATTTTGTTAACTGAAAAGAACCTTATTTTCATTTTAATAATTTTGATTGTGTAACAAAACAATTTCTGATTATTTTTCCAGTTTATTAATATTTTATAAGGTGCAGCAAATTTATTAAGAGATAAATTTAATAAATATATACTTTTGTACATGGATTATATAGAATTTGTTAATGAATAATTAAAAATAGTTGTTTTCTTCTTTTCAAAGTCATGTAGATTTATGGTTAAAACAATAAATGACAATTATACCAGAAAATTGGAACTGTACAAATAGAGTAGAGAATCACACCCAAATGCAAAAGAGCTTCTGGGATTTATCGCATCCCACTATAGGATAATAGGTTTGACAGAATACTATTGTATATAGGATCCACGTACAGATCTCTGCAAGCTAGGCTAAAAGATCACAAATATGACGTACAAAAAAGAAACAATAATACAGCACACACCAGAGCTGTACTATTGTTTCCTTTTCCATTCTGGGGATTTCCCCATTGGGACCAAGCTACGCTAATACATAAGATCAATCAATATTCTCGACCAGCAAAATATTTGAATATTAAAAGCATTAGACAGGGCAGACAGGAGTGGAGCCTGCATCAACACTGATGCCATTCTTGTATATTTTCTGAGTCTAAATAGTATTTCCATGCATTTGGTACAACAAATGCATGGAAATACTATTTAGACTCAGGAAATATATGTCATATACGAAACGCCACAGCCTTTATTTGAACATCTTTGAAACTTTTAAAATTAGAAGGCAGCTACATTCTATTTATAGAACAGTTTTTCTGTTTTACATTTCTTGAAGAGGCCAATAAAATAGTGGTCGAAAACATTCGAGCGTTGAAGTTAAGCATTTCTTTGCTGGAAATTTAGCATTCAGGTGTGATTCTCTGCTCTAGATTCATGGTTATGGATTAATAAGAGAATAACCAAATTTTAATAATTCATTTTATTTTTAATTTTAATAATTCAGAAATTATAAAAAATACATAATTAGATTTTGTCTGGAACCTAGTTATGCATTTTTTATAATTTCCATAGTTATGTAAACATTCTGACAAAAATTTGCAAATGAAAATACATAATTGTTAATTAGAAAAAATAACTAACTAAAACGTTAGAGAAGCAAAACATATGTGCATAGTAAGTCAAATGCTGTTTTGTTTTGTCAGTGTGCCATACTATAAGGGACTTGAGGAATAGGATCAGGGAAGTTGTACGAAGTTGGTCAGGGAACGTCATGGAAATTAAAACAAAAATTTGAGTAGGAACCCTGTATATAAGCAGAAATTTTTATTGCTAATAATATAAAATTGAAATTAAGCATATTATTAATCTTGATCAAATCCTTTTTATCAAATATTAATGCAATTTTTAACTTTTAAATTATAACTGTTAACATTTATTATCTAATTAAAAAGTTGCATTATCTCTGTACTAAATATCTATGTTATTTGATTGGAAGCAGTAGTAAAATATACATAATGCTAGTCAGGGCTTTATTTTTAAAGGAAAAAATGCTTTAATGATTTATTCTAATGCTTACATTTTATTCATTTTTTTTGTTGAATTTAACACTTGGTTCTTATTAATAATCACACATGACTATCTAAATTATTTTCTGTGCAACAGTTTGCTGTGGTGTTAAGATCCTCTTAATTGTAGAAAAACTTTGTTTCAGTTCAACTGAACTGGATATAAAGTACAATGCATTCAAAGCAAGTTGCTAAATATTGGTATAACCTTTGTGAGGATTTTCCTAACATCAATGAATCTTGTGATTGTTTTGCTGAATATGAAACTAAATTTCATAACAAGCAATTTCATTTTTTGGCACATTTTCTTCTTCAAATGTGAAAATATCCAATAGCTCTAGAATAATAACATGCAGTTTGCTGAAATGGGCTGGGTCCAATTTTTGAACTTCTTTCCAAAAAATAACAAAAGGATGCCACTCATATACAGTAGACCCCCCTATAACGTGGAATAATATATCGCAGCGAAAAAATTGTGACCGTATTCGTATAAAGACGCTAAAAGAGACTCGTAAAATGCGGTAAAATGTCATCGCCGACTCGTGTCGCAAAAGGATTGGTCAAATCCGGACCAATAATGGACAAGCAGCTGAACTACTTACACGCTACAGAGAGTTTAGTCGGGTAAGTTGAGTTTACTATCAT